ATCAATCCCAGATGGCCTTCCAATAAGTTCAGATACCGATGATGATGGAAATACTGTCCAAGACATCCCTTTGCTTCTTGATTCCCTCAGAAAAAATTTATTGGCTCCATTTCGAAACCTCCTCAGAGAACTCAATGACACTGCATCTTCCAGTGCCAACAATATTATTATTAATAATCCTCCAGTGACATGTATGGTTTCAGATGGTTTTATGACATCCACCATCACAGCAGCTGGAGAGCTTGGAATCCCTGTCGTACTCTTCTTTACCATTGCTGCAGCCGGCTTCATGGGCTCTAAACAATATTCTGTTTTGGTGGAGAAAGGACTTGCGCCACTCAAAGGTGTGAAAGAGAAATGGGGAAGCAATTGTTGTTTCATGTATGATTATATATTGCTTGTTTTTAAAACAAATTAATGGTGCAACTTTTCTTTACTTGGGTCTTCTGTTGTAGATGAGAGCTGTTTGACAGACGGCTTTTTGGACAAGGTAATAGATTGGGTTCCCGGAATGCAGGGTATCCGTTTAAGGGATCTCCCAAGCTGCTTTCGAACGACAGATCCGGATGACATTGTGTTTAACTTTGCCAGGGAAGCAATGGATAGTGTTGATAAAGCTTCAGCAGTTGTTGTTCACACTTTTGATGCGTTGGAGCCACATGTTTTGGATGCTCTTTCATCTATGCCTCCACCTGTTTATGCAATAGGCCCTCTACAATTACTTCTCAATCATTTACCAAAAGACCCTTTGAAATCTATGGGATACAGTCTATGGAAAGAAGAAACTGAGTGCCTCCAATGGCTAAACTCCAAGGCACCAAACTCAGTTGTTTATGTCAATTTTGGGAGTTTAGTGGTCATGGCACCACAACAACTTGTTGAGTTTGGATGGGGACTTGCAAATAGCAAGCTTCCCTTCTTATGGGTAATTAGGCCGGATTTGATTGTTGGTGAATCAGCAATTCTGCCACCTGAGTTTGAGTTTGAAACTAAAGAAAGAGGTCTAATAGCAAGTTGGTGCCCACAAGAGCAAGTCCTGAACCACCCATCCGTCAGAGGGTTTTTGACACACAGCGGTTGGAATTCAACCATTGAGAGTCTAACTGCGGGTGTGCCTATGCTCTGTTGGCCAGTCTTTGCCGAGCAGCACACCAATTGTTACTATACTTGCAATGAATGGGGCAGTGGCTTGGAGATTGATAACAATGTGAAGAGAGATGAAGTGGAGAAGCTTGTTAGAGAGTTAACGGAGGGGGAGAAGGGCAAGAAAATGAAAATTAAGGCCATGGAGTGGAGGAAACTAGCAGAAGAAGCCACTGGTCCACATGGTTCTTCATCCATAAACATGGACAATTTGGTGAATCAAGTGCTATTAAGAAAAAAATAGAGATTATTCGTAAGAATAGTATTAATTTTTGTTGTTAATGTTATAGCAAGATGTATTCAACTTCCATTTCCAAGCCATATAAAGGCAATACTGAAATTAGCAAAACTCCTGTACCATAGAGGTTTTCATATAACCTCTGTCAACACAGAGTTCATCTACAAGCACTGTCTTCAATCTCCCGGACCCAATTCTCTTGATGGCTTGCCTAATTTTCGATTTGAAACAACCCCAGATGGCCTTCCAATTAGTTCAGATGAAGACATCGCCAAAGATATCACGTTGCTTTTTAATTCCGTCAGAAAAAATATAATGCCTCCTCAAAAAGCTCAAAGAAATTGCAACTTCCTTTAACATTGATCCCCAGGGACTTGCAATTGCATGCATTGTTTCAGATGATTACATGCCATTCACAAACCACACCCCCCCCCCCCCCCAACATTGATCCCCAGTGACTTGTAATTGCATGCATTGTTTCAGATGATTACATGCCATTCACAAACCAACCACACCCCCCCCCGGCTGAAGAACTTGGCATTCCTATCATACTCTTCTTTACTTTTGCAGCAAGCAACATTATGGGCTTTACGGGTGTCTGAAAGTCTGACTGCAGGGTAAGAAAATGAAAGATAAGGTCATGGAGTGCAAGAAAGTGGCAGAAGAAGCCACCGTTCCACATGGTTCTTCATCTACAAACTTGGACAATTTAGTAAACCGAATGCTATTAAGAAAAAGTAGATCATATTCCACCGGTCCACATGCCGTACATATTCTTTAGAGCACTTCCAGCATTTTGCCATTTGCCATGGCAAGGGGGGGACTAGGGCAGCAACTATTCACTGTGAATAGTTGCTGCCCTTGCAAAAGGTTGTGGTGTTTCCACCAATTGCCATGGTAACAACTATTCACATGAGATATGAGGAGAGAAATTTGTATAGAGTTTTTGGTGTGGGAAGTGAAAACTACAACTAAGTATTTATTTTTTTTTAAATCTCAAATTTTTTGTATTTTTTTAAGATTTTTTTTTAAAAATTTTGTTGTTGACATCATCGTTGATGTCAGCAAACTCGGACTAGAACTAAGCAAATCTTGTTGACGTGAGTCTCCTAATTAATCAAGGAGATTTACTTCCTTGATTAATTAAGGATTTACTTTCCTATTTTTTATATAAGTGATAAATCATTGTACAATTATGAGATACTTTCCTAATTCTTACTATGTCTAATTCCTTGTAAGACCCCTCATGTAAACTCCTATATATACCTCCTTATGGAGAAGAATAAAACTCAACCTAATACATTCAAACCATATTCATATTTTAGCATGGTATCAGAGCCAAGTTTCTTGTGACCTGTGCTTGCGTTCTTCTTGAAATTTAAGTGCTCTCCTCCCCTTCTTGAAAATCTAAAGTCCTCAAATCCTCTTATCTAAATCCCTAAACACATACCATCAAATCTTATACACATACCTCTTAAATCCAATTCCTACATCAAATTTCTCACATCACCTTCCTCACCTTCTCATATCACATTTTACTTCCGCTGCGATGTCAGGAACCCATACGATTCTCCATCTTATTGCAGACTCACAGAAGTATGCTGTCAATCCTGTTGACCTGGCTACCCAGACTCCTTCTTCTATCACCACCACCAAAGGTTCTACTCTTCATACGTCCTCCAAGATTAGATATTGCATATGCTGTGAGTGTGGTTAGCAGTTTATGCATTCGCCCAGTGTTTTTCATAGGAATGCAGTTGATCAGATCTTAAGATACTTAAAGTCAACCTCTGGGAAAGGATTAATGTTCTCAAAAAATGGAGATCTTGAAGTTGTTGGATACACAGATGCTGATTGGGCTGATTCTATTACAGATAGACGCTTTACTTCAAGTTACTTTACATTCGTGGGAGGTAACCTAGTCACTTAGCGGAGTACAAAGCAAAATACAGTTTCTCGATCTAGTGCAAAAGTAGAGTATCGAAGAATGACTCACGGAGTTTGTGAATCAAAAGATCAACTGGCAGATATCTTAACCAAAAGCTGTTTGTGGAAGAGTATTTCATGACTCACTTACCAAGTTGGGCATTGGTGACATATATGTACCAACTTGAGGAGGAATGTTAACGTGAGTCTCCTAATTAATCAAGGAGATTTACTTCCTTGATTAATTAAGGATTTACTTTCCTATTTTTTATATAAGTGATAAATCATTGTACAATTAGGAGATACTTTCCTAATTCTTTACTATGTCTAATTCCTTGTAAGACCCCCATGTAAACTCCTATATATACCTCTTTATGGAGAAGAATAAAACTCAACCTAATACATTCAAACCATATTCATATTTTAGCAAATCTTCCCTGAGGGCTAGCCTAGGTTTGTGGGCCCCATCCTACCAGGGCTAGCCCTTGCTGTTGGAAACAGTTTTTGGGCCTAAACCCCCCAGCCCTTGTGCTGGAAGTGCTCACCTTTTATGTTTGGCCCTCTTTGCGTTTCTCAATAAAAACTAGTCATGTGGATTTCCTGCTTTTGGAATGACTGAAGTTTGTACAGATTATCGAAGCACGTTTTCTTTTTCCATCGACAACAAAACCAAACACTAGAAAGTCTATAATTGACTGGCCGCCAAACAGTTTTAGGTTTGAAGATTTACAATTATTAACATAGCTCCGAGAATACACCTAACTTAATTACTTTGACCACGGGGATGCTCTATTCATAGTACAGAGTCCATTGTTAATGTGTATGCCATGGACTTTTTCCTAGGACTCATCAACCAAAGATCACCTAACATTAAGATAATCTTAACTAGTAGAAAACACAGAATTAGAGACACGTTTTTTGGGTTAGTTGGATGGCCTTGCTTTATCAAAAAGATCGAACCGGACTATCATGTCCAGCCTTGATATTATTGTCATATGACAGAGCCACACAAAAGCAAGAGTTATAAATAATAACGCATGCATACACTACATCTAATTCTAAGATGAGTTCCATGGCAATAGGAGATAGGCCTCATGTTGTATGTCTTCCAGTTCCACTTCAAAGCCATATCAAGGCAATGCTTAAGTTAGCAAAACTCTTCCACCATAGAGGTTTTCATGTGACCTTTGTCAACACAGAGTTCAACCACAAGCGCTTTCTTCAATCTCTTGGACCCAACTCCCTTGATGGCTTGCCTGATTTTCAATTCGAAACCTTTCCAGACGGTCTTCCAGTCAGTTCAGATGAGGATACTTCCCAGGACATCTTTTTGCTTTTTAATTCAATGCGCGATAACTTCTTGCCTCTGTTTCTTAACCTCCTAAAAGAACTCAATGACAGAGCAGCTTCCAGCAATACCAACCCTCCAGTGACATGTATTGTTTCGGATGGTTTGATGCCGTTCCCCCATCACAGCTGCCGAAGAACTTGGAATTCCTATTGCAATGTTCTTTACTATTTCTGCAGGCGGCTTCATGGGCTCTAAACAATATCCTGCTTTGGTGGAGAAAGGACTTGCACCACTCAAAGGTGAAAGAAACTAAAATTGAAGCTCTTGTTTACATTTATGATTCTATATACTGCTTGTTTCTAAAGAAAAGATTTGTGTGCCTGATCAAAGCTTAATTTTTAGATGAGAGCTATTTCACAAATGGCTTTTTGGACAAGGTGATTGATTGGATTCCAGGAATGAAAGGTATCCATTTACGGGAACTTCCGACAGTGTTTCACACTACAAATCCGGACAACATCTTCTTTAAGCTCACAGTGGAAACAATGGATAGAGTAGATAAAGCTTCAGCTGTTGTTCTTCTTACATTTGATGCATTGGAACAAGAGATTCTGGATGCTCTCTCATCTATGCTTATCCCACCTATTTATACAATTGGTCCTATTGAATTACTACTTGTCAATCAGATACCAGAAGACCCTTTGAAGTCTGTTGGCTATAGTCTATGGAAAGAAGAAACTGAGTGCCTCCAATGGCTAAATTCTAAAGAGCCAAACTCGGTTGTTTATGTGAATTTTGGCAGTTTAGCGGTCATGACGCCTGAACTTGTTGTTGAGTTTGGCTGGGGACTTGCAAATACAAATTATCCCTTCTTGTGGGTAATTAGGCCTGATTTCGTGTTGGCGAATCGGCGATTTTTGCACCAGAGTTTGTGGCCGAAACCAAGGGAAGAGGTGTAATAGTAAATTGGTGCGCACAAGAGCAAGTCCTTAACCACCCATCAGTTGGAGGGTTTTTGACACACAGCGGCTGGAATTCAACCATTGAGAGTTTGTCTGCCGGAGTACCTATGATCTGTTGGCCACTCTTCGCGGACCAGCCAACAAACAGCTGGTGTACTTGCAATCAATGGGGCAGTGGCGTGGAGATGGATAAGAATGTCAAGAGAGAGGAAGTGGAGAAGATTGTTAGAGAGTTAATGGAGGGAGAGAAGGGTAAGACAATGAAAAGTAAGGCCATTGAGTGGAAGAAGCTAGCAGAAGAAGCAACCGGTCCACAAGGTTCTTCATCCACAAACTTGAACAATTTAGTGAATCAAATGCTATTAAGAAAAAGCTAGATCTTATATCCATAAGAATGTGTTAATTAATTAAGTGTATGTTATTGCTGGTCTTAATTTAGAACTATAAAGATGTGTTGCAAGATCTGCATATGCACTCCCTCCCTCTTTACCATCTATCTATAATTTCGTTTTGCTCATGAACAAATGCTTAGCTTGGTTCTACTTTCTTTCTCAATTTAATATTGATATACCAGAGAAAACTAAGATTCTGACAAAAATATTTTAGCAGCTATTGAAAAAAAATGGACGGTGACAAACTAGCAATAATATGTGAGCTTAGCTCTATTTTCTTATTTAATATTGATATACCAGAGAAAACTAAAATATTATCACAAAAATATTTTAGGAATTAGGTTTCTGATTTTTATATTTTAAGTTCAATTTTGTTTGGATCTAAAAAATAGTTTGGAGTTCAATATTAAAAAAGTTTTTAGATCCTATAAAATTAGTATTTAAAAATGCATGTTTTAAAAATAAAATAAAAAACCAAAACAAATTATGATTTTTGAGTTCATCTTTTTTAGTAGGATACCAAACGGGCCCTAAGATTCTGACAAAAATATTTTAGTTATTCAAAAAATGGAAGGTGACAAAAAACTATAAAATGGTGGTGGTCCTATTCCTAAAGCATAAACCCGTTTGGTTCATGAGAAAGGAGACTTGAGAATGGGAAACCAATTGCTTTCTCATGTTTGGTAAGTCTAGGTATAGGGAAATCGTTGCCTGACTCATGAGAAATTAGGAGGGAAAGTGAAGTCATCCTCCTAACTTGGGTTTTGTTTTCCCTCCTCATGGGAAAGTTTGGGAAAATGAGCTAACATTAAATACATATTTTTTATGACCATTTTATCCCCATTAACAATTTAGAATTACAATATATCATTAAATGCATTCTTTTTTTATTTGATTTAGTATAGGTATAATTGAAAATTTATACAAACTTTGTTTTCCATTTCTACTAAAAAAACATAGGAAAGGAAATAAAGTGATATTTTCCGGTTACTTTTCCAGCATTACCAAAGGTGGGAAAGGAATCTTCCATTCACATTCCTTAGGAAATGACATGGGAAATTATTTCCCCTCAAATTCATTCCATGAACCAAACGGGGCAAAAATGGTGGCGGTCCTCTATCTTTCTCTATCATTGCATGGCTGGCTAGGGATTTCGTGTCTCTACATTTTGCATTGGTACATTTATACGCATTTAGGGAAATTTTAGCCACTTGATTAATCTAATGGATTTTAATTAGTTCACATCAAAATAATTGTATTAGACAGAAACTCCCGCTTTGCGTCTTATCATTGTAACTTCTCCATCTCAGTCTCCTACTTGCAGCAATTAAACAAACCCACGCCATATCTTCCTCCTTTCCCCGTCAAATCCCCTTTTCTACGCTTTTGCAACATCAAACTCATAATCAAATTGCAGAAATAAATAAATATATATATATATAAACAAATAATCACAAACAGAAAATACATCAAATCAAACTCAAGAAAAAATTAAAACAACCCCAAGAGAAAGATGAAGACAAACCCAGGGTCAAAAATGAAATCAAACCTATTCAACAAACAAAACTAGTCATTTAAATATTCTTTGTTTCTCAATTTTATGGTTATAGGATATGATTCTGCTTAAATACTAAGAAAATAGAAAACAAAGAGATATTTTTTCTTTTTTTCTTTTTGTTGGAAGAAAATATCAATTCATCCAAACAAACCAACGTGAAAGCATAGGCATTCAGGCAATAAGATGGAAACGTGATAAGATAAGGTGCAATGCGGGAGTTTCTGTATAATACAATTATATTGATATGGACTAATTAAAATTCGTTAGATTAATCGAGTGGTTAATATTATCTTCAATATGCATAAATGCACTAATACTAACCACTAGATTTGGCCACTCTCTTCTAAAAATCCTGATAGTCTTAATGGGATACCACAAGACTTGTTTAAATCATTTAAAAGTCTTAATTGAATATCACAAGACTTATTTATCCCAAAATATTCTTTTAAAATCCCAATTGAATACACCACCTAAATGCATAAGCTCATAATCCAATGGCTAGTAGGGAGAAAAGATTCGTGCTCAAGTGGTTGAGTTTTGGATTGGGTTTGCAAGATTAGTTGTTTTCTTGGATATGATATGAGATAGGACCTAAACTTGTATGCCCTCGTTTCATTTTTCAATATATTCATGTGGCTTTCCTTGTAGCTTTTGATTGATTACTTTTCTTTGTAGCCATATGCTGTTTTTTTCTATATTATTTGTTAGTTGGTGGTTCTTGACTTTGTCTTAACACTAAACATAAAAAATCAAAGTTGACCAAAAAATAAAAACATAAAAAATCAAATAAAAAAATTTGTCCCAATGAGCTGACAATTCTGACAAAAACTAAGATTCTGACAAAAATATTTTAGTCGCTATTGAAAAAAAATGGATGGTGACAACAAAATTATTATAAAATGGCGGTGGTGGTCCTCTATCTTTGCATGGCTAGCATAAGGTAAAAGAGTCGTGCTCAAGTGGTTTGTCGGCGAAGTCAGAAATTCTATCCAGAAGTGTCAACTTTAAATACCTTTATAATTACAATGAATTTAGTTTTTATAGGAAAATATATATAAGAATTCATTATAATGATTAAATTTCAATATCTCAAATTTAATATCTTAGTAAGTATAACCCAAATTCTAACAACCTAAAAATAATGAAAGAGTATTATAAATTGATTTTAGATAGAATGAGAAAATCAAATAAAATCCATGACACACACATATAAATGACATATGGACACATGAAAATAAATATAAGTCATATTCATGTTCATTGTAGACAATTTACATTTGTAAGAAGGGTTAATATAGTAAATATAGCTATAAAACAACTTGAATAACATAGATAAATATAATATTTTCAAAATGTTGTGTGCCTTAATTGACTCCGCCACAAATTGTTGCCTTGTTTTTCTCGGTTGCTTGAGTTTCGGGATTCGCAAGATTTGTTGTTTTCTTGATTGAATATGACATGAGATAAGACCTAAACTCGTGTTAAGGACTGAAATATGTTGTTTGCATGTATGGCCCTCGTTTCATTTTTCAATTCATGTAGCTTTCTGTCTTGCTTTTGAGTGCCTTATTAGTGATTGATTACGTTTGTATAGTTACATACAAGTTACAAAATTCTAACAAATAATGGTGATTGCAGACATGAGCTTAGTCAAGTTGGCTAGAGCAGATGTACATGTCCTCTTCCATTCTGCATCCGAGTTCGAATTCTCTTCCTTCTAATTTAGATTAGACTAGATTAAAGTAAAATATCATTTCTATAAAATAAAAAAAATAAAAATGGTGCTAATATATATTCAATGATATCCCTTGGTGCTTTTAGGTTGTCTGCCATTTGCTGTTTTTTTTATAACATTCAACATCGTCATCGTTACCATAAAATCAAAGAACTAATTATGAGCAAGTTTTTCAAACCCAAGATAACAACGCCAGAATGCTAACCAATGGAGGGTTGGGATATCTTCAAATATGTGGAGAGATGTTATGAATGACGGGAGTCAAAGATGAGCAATAAAGCAGATACTTATTCGTTTTATGCATTTAGAATTATAGTTTACTTATCTTTTTTTTTTTGGTCAAGAAATTACTTTTATGTTTTTACTTTTGCGCATTTTTCGTAAATATGCTGACATATATCTTTATTTGGTTGCACATTTGAACAAAATAGATGCCCTTTGTTTATTTTCTTTGGATGTATATGGTTTGAACGTTTTTTACAAATTGTTTTTGTAAAGGTACTTTCTCTTTTGAAAATCTAGAAAAACAATAAACAACCCCAAAAAAAAAAAAAAAAATTAGAACTCTAATCAACTCTTTTAAAATCTATGATAAAACTCTAACAAACACCATTAAAATCAATCTACGAATTCAATCAAACTCTATGTGGAGTTTATAGAAATCAATTGAAATATATTGAACTCTATAAACTTTATAACTCCATTTAACTCTTTTAAAATCTTAATTGAATACACTCCCCTTAATGATATCTCTCAGTGCTTTTAGGTTGTCTGCCATTTGTTGTTTTTTTCTATATTATTTGTTAGTTAGTGGTTCTTGACTTTGTCTTAACACCAAACATAAAAAAATCAAAATTTAAAAATAAAAAAAAATTGTCCCAATGAGCTGAAGATTCTGACAAAAACTAAATTTGACAAAATATTTTAGCCGCTATTGAAAAAAATGGATGGTGACAACAAAATTACTATAAAATGGCGGCGGTGGTCCTCTATCTCTCCTCCATCTTTGCATGGCTAGTATAAGGGAGGAGTCGTGCTCAAGTGGTTTGTTGCCTTGTTTTTTTCTCGGTTGCTTGAGTTTCGGATTTACAAGATTTGTTGTTTTCTTGAATTGAATATGACTTGAGATTGGACCTAAACTGGTGTTTGATAAGGACTGAAATGTTGTTTGCATGTATGGCCCTCGTTTGATTTTCAATTCATGTGGCTTTTGAGTGCCTTATTACTGATTGATTACGTTTGTATAGTTACATACAAGTTACATAATTCTAACAAATAATGGTGATCGCAGACATGCACTTCACTTAGTCAAGTTGGCTAAAGCAGATGTGCTCTCCATTTTGCATCCAAGTTCGAATTCTCTTCCTCATAGTTTAGACTAGATTAAAATAAAATATCATTTCTAATAAATAAAAATAAAAATAATGGTGACAATATATATTCAATGATATCTCTTGGTTTTTTTATATATTATTTTTCAGCCTGGTGGTTCTTGATTTTGTCTCTCTCAGCAGTAGAAAAAGGAACAAATCCAACCGCCCATTACTGTCGTATACCCTGACTGACTCTTTCTAGGCTGCCGGGTCCCCTTGTCATAAGTCAGACATGGCACGAAAATGTTGTTAGAACTATAAAGTTTTACTGCATTTGTGTTGTGAGTGCAAATATTGTTCATCTGTGCATACACTGACTGTATACACAATCTAAGATGAGCTCCATAGAAGTACAAGGCAATAAGCCTCATGCTGTATGCATTCCCTTTCCAATTCAAAGCCATATAAAGGCAATGCTGAAATTAGCAAAGCTCCTACACCATAGAGGTTTTCATATAACCTTTGTTAACACAGAGTTCAACCACCGCCGCTTTCTTAAATCTCTTGGACCTAACTCCCTCAATGGCTTGCCTGATTTTCAATTCGAAACTATTCCAGATGGTGTTCCAGCTTCAGATGAGGATGCCGGCCAAAACGCGTATTTGCTTTGTGATTCCATCAGAAAAAATTTCTTGGCAGTATTTCGTAACCTCCTTTTAAAACTCAATGACATGGCAACTTCTAACAATATTAGTAATCCTCCAGTGACTTGCATTGTTTCAGATGGTTTCATGACTTTCAGCATCACAGCTGCTGAAGAACTTGGAATCCCTGTTGCACTGTTCTTTACTATTGCTGCAATTGGATTCATGGGCTTTAAGCAATATCCCACTTTGGTAGAGAAAGGACTTGCCCCACTCAAAGGTGAAAGAAGTATTCATAATATTGAAGCAGTTGAGCAACTTTTTGCTTAACTTCTTGTTGTTCTTTTGAAAAATGATGATGAAATTTTTCTTGACTTGGGTGTTGCAGAAGAGAGCTATTTAACAAATGGCTTTTTGGACCAGGTCATAGATTGGGTTCCCGGAACGAAAGCTATTCGTTTAAAGGATCTCCCAAATTACTTTCAAACTACAAACCCCAATGACATCTTGTTCAAGTTAACCTTGGAAGCAATGTACAGAGTTGATAAAGCTTCAGCAGTTGTTCTTCATACTTTTGATGAGTTGGAGGCAGATGCTTTGCATGCTCTCTCATCAATGCCTCCACCTGTTTATACCATTGGCCCTCTCCAGTTACTTCTCAATCAGATACCACAACACCCTTTGAAGTCCATGGGATATAGTCTATGGAAAGAAGAAACTGAATGGTTTCAATGGCTCAATGCTAAGGTGCCAAACTCAGTTGTTTATGTAAACTTTGGCAGCATAGTGGTCATAAAGTCAGAAGATCTTATTGAGTTTTGTTGGGGACTTGCAAATAGCAAGCTTCCCTTCTTCTGGGTAGTTAGACCTGATCTGTTAGTTGGTGAATCGGCGATTTTGCCACCTGAGTTTGTAGCTGAAACTAAGGGAAGAGGTTTGGTAGCAAGCTGGTGCCCACAAGAGCAAGTCCTTAGCCACCCCATCAATTGGAGGATTCTTAACACACAGTGGTTGGAACTCAACCATTGAGAGTCTTTCTGCAGGAGTTCCTATGCTTTGCTGGCCATTCTTTGCCGAACAGCAAATAAATTGTGTCTATACTTGCAATGAATGGGGCATTGGCTTGGAGATCAATAATGATGCCAAGAGACACCAAGTAGAGAAGCTCATAAAGAGTTAGTGGAGGGAGAGAAGGGTAAGAAAATGAGAACTAAGGCTATGGAATGGAAGAAACTAGCAGAGAAGGCCATCAGTCCTGATGGTTCTTCATACTCAAACTTAGACAATTTAGTGAATCAAGTTCTATTAAGAAAAGCCAGGTGCTGTCCATATGAGCCTTCTTATTAGGTTTGTTGTTGTTCTTAATAACCTACAAAATGTAGAGCCTAGAGGCTATTGAACCTTGCTACCATCTCTAATTTCTTGCTTTGCTGTAAGCTAGTTATAATATGAAACTTATTAAACAAAAAATTATGGTGCCATGGTTTTTCTTCATGAATATGCTAATATTTACTACACAATAATTAAATTCAAAAACCAGAACAAAAATCAAAGGAAATTAATTATTGAATAGTAAATATTGTATAACCACAAAACAGAACTGATACCTCAAGGCTGATCCCTGTACTTTGAAAATTTGTTCTGGTCACATCCCAGGGAGGGAGTGGTGAGATATGCACTTGGATTGCATGTAGATTTTTCTACCCATGCTGTCAAATGTTTAAGCTTTCATAATAACCTGCATAGTGCAGATGGAAATCATAATTTTGAAACAAAACTACTAGAAACAAAAACCAGAGCTTCTTAAGAAAAGAGCAACAGAATAATGACAGCTAAATCATTTAAATCATTTACAGGCCAAAAGCCTAACTGCATATGATTCACCACTGATCAAAAGGCGGTATGTCTGAGTCTTCCTTTCCCAGACAAAATAAAACAATCTAGTGCGAGAGAATGAAAGTTAAGAAATCGCAATCCTATTTGAATAAATTTTGTCTAATAGGAGTTGCAATCCTATTTTCCCAAATGATGTTGTAAAGGCCGAAACAAAAGGTTGTGATACACAAACTATCACTATTCAACATACCATGAGACCAGAAGAAGCTAGTAAGCTACATCCCTTTTGAGTGTGTGTGGACCACCATCTGCCAAATGAAAATTAATAATAAATTCACAATTCACAAGAACATTAGGGCCATAATTCACATGAGGGAATATGCATCCCTGACATGTGTGTTTCTGTCAGGGTTGTGTGTGGGTGCAGACATGGATGGGGTTGGGCAGGCAACAGCCTTTGGGATTTTCAAGCCTCCGTAGTGGCTGCCAAATAGTTTTAGGTTTGACGATTTATGATTATTAACATAGCTCAGACAATTCACCTAACCTAATTACTTTGACCACACACATGCTCCATGCATACTATAAAGTCCATTGTTATTGTGTGTGCCATGGACTTTTTCCTAGAACTCATTTCATTTGGCAACCAAACATCACCTCTTAGAGACACGTTTTTGGGTTAATTGGATGGCCTTGCTTTAACATAAAGATCAAACCGCACTATCATGTCCAGCCTTGATATTATTATCATATGATAGAGACACACAAAAGCTAGACTTGCTTGCCTGCAGAGTTACAAATTATAATGCACGCATTATGCATACACTTAATCTAATTCTAAGATGGAATTGTATGTCTTCCAGTTCCACTTCAAAGCCATATCAAGGCAATGCTTAAGTTAGCAAAACTCTTCCACCATAGAGGTTTTCATGTGACATTTGTCAACACAGAGTTCAACCACAAGCGCTTTCTTCAATCTCTTGGACCCAACTCCCTTGATGGCTTGCCTGATTTTCGATTCGAAACCTTTCCAGACAGTCTTCCAGTCAGTTCAGATGAGGATACTTCCCAGGACATCGTTTTGCTTTTTAACTAAGAGCGAGATAACTTCTTGCCTCTGTTTCTTAACCTCCTAAAAGAACTCAATGACAGAGCAGCTTCCAGCAATACCAACCCTCCAGTGACTTGTATTGTTTCGGATGGTTTGATGCCGTTCCCCATCACAGCTGCTGAAGAACTTGGAATTCCTAATGCAATGTTCTTTACTATTTCTGCAGGCGGGGCTCTAAACAATATCCTGCTATGGTGGAGAAAGGACTTACACCACTCAAAGGTGAAAGTAACTAAAATTGAAGCTCTTGTTTACATTTATGATTCTATATACTGCTTGTTTCTAAAGAATAGATTTGTGTGCCTGATCAAAGCTTAATTTTTAGATGAGAGCTATTTCACAAATGGATTTTTGGACAAGGTGATTGATTGGATTCCAGGAATGAAAGGTATCCATTTACGGGAACTTCCGACAGTGTTTCACATTACAAATCCAGACAACATCTTTTTTAAGCTCACAGTGGAAACAATGGATAGAGAGATAAAGCTTCAGCTGTTGTTCTTCTTACATTTGATGCATTGGAACAAGAGATTCTGGATGCTCTCTCATCTATGCTTATCCCACCTATTTATACAATTGGTCCTATTGAATTACTACTTGTCAATCAGATACCAGAAGACCCTTTGAAGTCTGTTGGCTAAAGTGTATGGAAAGAAGAAACTGAGTGCCTCCAATGGCTAAATTCTAAAGAGCTAAACTCAGTTGTTTATGTGAAATTTTGCAGTTTAGCGGTCATGACACCCGAACTTCTTGTTGAGTTTGGTTCAGGACTTGCAAATACAAATTATCCCTTCTTGTGGGTAATTAGGCCTGATTTCGTTGTTGGCGACGACGATTTTTGCACCAGAGTTTGTGGCTGAAACCAAGGGAAGAGGTGTAATAGTAAATTGGTGCCCACGAGAGCAAGTCCTTAACCACCCATCAGTTGGAGGAGGGTTTTTGACACACAGCGGCTGGAATTCAACCATTGAGATTTTGTATTGCAGAGTGCCTATGATCCAGAGGGCATATGATAGGAGATAGGACCTAAACTGGTGTTTGATAAGGACCGAGATGTTATTTGCATGTATGGCCCTTGTTTCATTTTTCAATTCATGTGGCTTTCTTTCTTGCTGAGTGCCTTATTAGTGATAGATTACGTTTGTATAGTTACATACAAGTTACATAATTCTAACAAATAATGGTGATCGCAAACATGGGCTTAGCCAAGTTGCAGATGTGCTCTCCATTCTGCACCCGAGTTGGAATTCTCGTCCCCGTAGTTTAGACTAGATTAAAGTACAATATCATTTCTATAAAATAAAAATAAAAATAATGGTGATAATATATATTCAATGATATCTCTTGGTGCTTGTGTTCAAATTTTGGCTCTATTATTTCTAATAAAAGCATGTTATTAACCTGCAGGCTGCATGATTGCTATATTTTGGCTCATTGTAGAGCTTCTTTACTGTTTTGGCTCTATTGATGTGAATCTAATCCCATAAGGCCTTCAATAAGAATACAAAGGACACTTAATTCAACTTAACCTGCAGGCTGCAGGATACATACCGTTTTAAGATTCTACGGAGATTTGATTTTTACAGATGTGGACGTGCAGTAGAGAAACAAACAAATCCAGCCGTCCATTATTGTCGTATACCCTGACTCTTTCTAGGCTGCCAGGTCTCATTGTCATAAGCCAGACATGGCAGGAAAATGTTATTAGAACTATAAAGTTTTACTGCATTGTGTTGTGAGTGCAAATATTGTTCATATGTGCATACACTGACTGCACACAATCTAAGATGAGCTCCATAGAAGTACAGGGCAATAAGCCTCATGCTGTATGCATTCCCTTTCCAATTCAAAGCCATATAAAGGCAATGCTGAAATTAGCAAAGCTCCTACACCATAGAGGTTTTCATATAACCTTTGTTAACACAGAGTTCAACCACCACCGCTTTCTTAAATCTCTTGGACCTAACTCCCTCAACGGCTTGCCTAATTTCAATTCAAAACCATTCCAGATGGTCTTCCAGCTTCGGATGAGGATGCCGGCCAAAACGCGTATTTGCTTTGTGATTCCATCAGAAAAAATTTCTTGGCACCATTTCGTAACCTCCTTTTAAAACTCAATGACATGGAAATTTCTAACAATATTAGAATCCTCCAGTGACTTGCATTGTTTCAGATGGTTTCATGACTTTCAGCATCACAGCTGCTGAAGAACTTGGAATCCCTGTTGCACTGTTCTTTACTATTGCTGCAATTGGATTCATGGGCTTTAAGCAATATCCCACTTTGGTAGAGAAAGGACTTGCGCCACTCAAAGGTGAAATAAGTATTCATAATATGAAGCAGTTGAGCAACTTTTTGCTTAATTTCTTGTTTTTTTTTTAAATGGTGATGAAATTTTTCTTGACTTGGGTGTTGCAGAGGAGCGCTATTTAACAAATGGCTTTTTGGACCAGGTCATAGATTGGGTTCCCGGAACGAAAGCTATTCGTTTAAAGGATCTCCCAAAGTCCTTTCAAACTACAAACCCCAACGACATCTTGTTTAAATTAACCTTGGAAGCAATGGACAGAGTTGATAAAGCTTCAGCAGTTGTTCTTCATACTTTTGATGAGTTGGAGGCAGATGTTTTGCATGCTCTCTCATCAATGTCTCCACCTGTCTATACCATTGGCCCTCTCCAGTTACTTCTCAATCAGATACCACAACACCCTTTGAAGTCCATGGGATATAGTCTATGGAAAGAAGAAACTGAATGGTTCCAGTGGCTCAATGCTAAGGTGCCAAACTCAGTTGTTTATGTAAACTTTGGCAGCATAGTGGTCATAAAGTCAGAAGATCTTATTGAGTTTTGTTGGGGACTTGCAAATAGCAAGCTTCCCTTCTTCTGGGTAGTTAGACCTGATCTGTTAGTTGGTGAATCGGCGATTTTGCCACCTGAGTTTGTAGCTGAAACTAAGGGAAGAGGTTTGGTAGCAAGCTGGTGCCCACAAGAGCAAGTCCTTAGCCACCCATCAATTGGAGGATTCTTAACACACAGTGGTTGGAACTCAACCATTGAGAGTCTTTCTGCAGGAGTTCCTATGCTCTGTTGGCCATTCTTTGCCGAACAGCGAATAAATTGTGTCTATACTTGCAATGAATGGGGCATTGGCTTGGAGATCAATAATGATGCCAAGAGAGACCAAGTAGAGAAGCTCATTAAAGAGTTAGTGGAGGGAGAGAAGGGTAAGAAAATGAGAACTAAGGCTATGGAATGGAAGAAACTAGCAGAGAAGGCCATCAGTCCTGATGGTTCTTCATACGCAAACTTAGACAATTTAGTGAATCAAGTTCTATTAAGAAAACGCTAGGTGCTTTCCATATGAGCCTTCTTATTAGGTTTGTTGTTGTTCTTAATAACCTACAAAATGAAGAGCCTAGCGGCTATTGAGCCTTGCTATCATCTCTAATTCTTGCTTTGCTGTAAACTAGTTCTAAATGGATCCCAATCTTCAAATTTTGTAGCTTTTTTCTTGTTATTTTTAATCCATTTTAGATTCTTAGCAAAAGTTGTGGTTGTATTCTTGCACTCCTATGAAGGAGAGTATATTCCACCATTATGGAAATGTTATTTGCACATCCCATATTTAGTAGCCATTTTCAACAATATTATTAATTTTGTTTTATAATATGAAACTTACTAAACAAAAAATTATGGTGCCATGGTATTTCTTCATGAATATGCTGATATTTACTATACAATAATTAAATTCAAAAAGCAGAACAAAAATCAAAGGAAATTAATTATTGAATAGTAAATATTGTATAACCACAAAACAGAACTGATACCTCAAGGCTGAAATTTTGTTCTAGTCACATCCCAGGGAGGCATCGGTGAGATATGCACTTGGATTGCATGTAGATTTTTCTTCCCATGCTATCAAATGTTTAAGCCTTCATAATAACCTGCTTAGTGCAGATGGAAATCATAATTTTGAAACAAAACTACCAGAAATACGAACCAGAGCTTCTTATGAAAAGAGCAACAGAATAATGACAGCTAAATCATTTACAGGCCAAAAGCCTAACTGCCCATGATTCACCAATGATCAAAAGACGGTATGTTTGAGTTTTCCTTTCCCAGACAAAATAAAACAATCTAGTGCGAGGGAATGAAAGTTAAGAAATCGCAATCCTATTTGAATAAATTTTGTCTAATAGGAGTTGCAATCCTATTTTCCCAAATGATGTTGTAAAGGCCAAAACAAAAAGGTGTGACACACAAACTATCACTATTTAACATACCATGAGACCAGAAGAAGCTTGTGAGTGTGTGGACCACCATCTGTCAAATGAAAAGTAATAAATAAATTCACAATTTACAATTCATAAGAACATTATGGCTATAATTCATATGAGTGAATATGCATCCCTGACGTGTCTTTCTGTCAGTGTTGTGTGCGGGTGCATATATGGATGGGTTTGGGCAGGCAACAGCCTCCGGGATTTTCAATGAACTAAGCTATTGTCTTTTTCTTTCTTAAGAAATGCAGATTTATTAAACAAACTATGTGGATGACACACACCAGTTGACCTAAAGAGGCCAACAGTCTTCAACACTGTCAATTGGCTGATCCCAATCATAATGAAATTTAGAGAGAAGAGAGAGGAGGCAGCACCATACATATGGAGACCATGCTTCATAGCTAAGCTATGGAAAGACTTTGGCAAGAAAATAAAATGCCATATCTAATACTTGAAAATTTACTTTCTAACACAGAACTTGTATAAAGTTTAATTCCATCCATATGATTACAAACCCAAAATTTGAGTTTTACCCATTAGCAATGAATGTTACATCTATCACATCTTTACTCTATGATCATACCTGACTTTCACAAATAGCTCAGCTCTGAATACTTGCCTTTACAGGGTCAACGGGATGCATCATTCCTTCCCCAAATTCCCCAGCAATAGCTCTCCCAACTGAAACTCCCCCAAAAACTACAATGACAGATTAAAATAGCAATTATGGACTCCAACAAGTCCATATATACCTTACAATTCCACTAATTCAAAACATTAAAACACATAACCAGACAAAATTTGTATACACATTGGCAAATGCAATTATACATTTACTAAATACCCAAAACCTTGATTTCTTTTCTTTCCCAACCCAACAATATAATTATTTCATAAAGAAATTGAATATTTTCCTATGATGGTTTATTTCATTATTGAAAGATTTGTGCTTTCAGCTGCCTCAAATTTCAACTTTGTTGCATTTTGCTAGAAGATTAAATTTTCATTCTTTCATTGCAACTGCTTGATGTTTCCAATCTTTACTCTTTTTCTAAATTCTATCCCATAAGATCAAAAAAGGGGAAAAGAAAACAGAGAATTGAAAGGCTCACAGTAAATTCGCCGTCGATCAAGAGCTTGATAGAAGTGAGGGCCGAGAAAGCCAAAGCCTTTTTCTCGTCACTTCGCCGTCGATCCCAGCTCCCTCTCTATCTCTGTCGATCATATCCAACGGTCGAATGGGCCTTTGGCTATGGGGATGAGTTTTGGACCGTTGGATGTACAGCGTATCTGAAATCTAGTCAATATGAAACGTCAATATTACCCTTAATGCTCTTCGTATTCTGCCAGGGTAGAATCGACATAAGATTCGGGACTGATCAGATGAGAGCTCTTTGAATTCTGCCATGAAAGGAAGAAGGAAAATCATAAGTTTTAGTAATTATACCACGACCAAGTGGTCCTGTTTCTTGAGAATTGAGGAAATTTGGGTGAGAAATTCAGGATTTTTCATTCTACCTTGTAAGAGCAACTCCACCCATTTGCCCTTTGTCATAGCAAGGAGGAGCTAGGGCATCACTATTCACGTGAATAGTGGTTGCCATTGCAAATAGTATTGTGTGTTTCCACCCGTTGTAATGGCAAAGGGAAATTACTATTCATTTCTTTTGTTTTTTTCACAAATTTTTTTACCTCAATAATTAATTTGGATAATATTTTCGGATAAGATTTTCGGGTTCCTACGTGTCAAGACTATTCATAATCGGATAAAATTTCCAGATAAGATTTTTGGTTTCAAATTTCGGATGAATTTCAAAATTCAAAATTTCAGATAAATTTCAAAATTCAAATTTCGGATGAATTTCAAATTTCAAATAAGATTTCAAATTCCAATCATGATGGTTGAAACCTATTTTGCCTTGCCCAATTGCACCAAACCACATCTGTGCTTGAATCATCTATTAAAAAAAATTGGAAATGCAAGAAATATTTAAAATATATTGGATATGCAAGTAACAAAAAATAAATAATGGAAATGCAATTAACCTTACAAATATATTGGAAGTGCAGGAAATATTAAGAAACAATTGGAAATGCAAGAAATATTAACAAAATATTGAAAATGCAATAAACATTACAAATATATACATTAGGACATTAAACTTAATAAAACAAAAATTACAAAATATTTACCTCGTTACTAAGATTTTCCCCGCTTCTATGGTTGTCCATCGCTTTTGCCAAGGTATCCCTCTATTTTCCCAACTCTTTATTGAGAATTTTCCACCTACTAGACAATGTCATTTCCGTACGAGTCAACCCCGGAATTTTTTCACAAAATTCAGCATGAATTTTTTTCCACATATGAAAAAATTTCATCTCATTGCCTGACACGAGACAATGACAAATTTGGAGCCAAGCCTCACACAAGAAAACATCTTCCATGGTGCTCCACGCCCCTTCGATTTCGATAGAAGAAGTCATAAATATAAGAAATAAAAATACAATTTGAAAGAGAGGAAACTGTTGAGTAAAGAGTGAATAATAGTAGAAGTAGAAGAAAATGTATGAGGATTGGTGTTGAAAGTGAAGGGTATTGATAGGTATTTATAGAAAAAAAAAAAATTTAGATTTATTTTTTTTTTTTTTTTTTTTTAAAAAATTTAAAAATTTTTTTTTTTCATAATTTTATTGCCAAACAAATGTCAGGCCTTGGATTGGAGGAGGAGAAGCAGATCGGAGCGCCCAAGGCTTGACACTTGTCTTCTACTTGTTGGAGCTTGCGCAGGGCTAACTTCAGAGCACGTAAGTTTAAATTTTTTTTACTGTTTGCGCATGACATCATCAGCCCTTGGGCGAAACTGACCTTCAAGCCCGCCCGTCTTCATGGGTCCCACTCCCAACCCGGGCTTAGGCTCTTGGCTGGAACTGGGTTTATTTTTTTTCTCACCCCAGCCTTGGGCTCAGCTGATCGCTAGAGTTGCTCTAACAAAAATACAAGATAGTGATTTTGCAATCTCTTTGTCAACCAGAAGAGTTCCCACATTGAAACACTAGAGTTCCTTGGAGGTCCTTATAAGACTTGCTCTTAGAAAGAGAATAGTTTGTATTGGCTATGCAAGTGGCCCAATTGAATGGTTTGTAGGTATGGCCTTTGGGTAAATGCCTAATTAGTTGGTTCATTGATTAATTAATATATATATATATATATATTGGGCTCTGTGATTTAAATTAAAGCCGATTATTTATTTTTTAAAAACAAATAGGGAAAAACTGATATTTTTTAAATACATATTATTTTTGTTCAATAATATGATAGAATTATGAAATTTTTGTAAAAAATAAGTGTATTAAACATGAGAAATACTTGCATACGTGTATAATACATATTAAACGTGAAAGTGCCAAAATCTTTATACGGGTAATAACTTTGGAAAAGTGAAAAATCAAAAATGGACAATAGATACTAGAGTAATGACCTAATAATAACGGATAGGGCTCCTGGGCTATGGAAAAATTTAATTAAGACACCCAAACGATTTCACAAAAGACTTAATAATATAAATTAATTATTTTGTGGACTTTTTCTTTAATGTTTTATATTAAATAATAATTAAAATATAAGTACTAATTAAAGTAATTCAAAAGGCTAAGACATTGCTCAATTACATATATTTAATTAAAGAAGTAGGCCAACAAAAAAAAGTAAAGAAACTAATTATTTTATAAATTAAATTTTCTCTTTAAATAGTATAGCCGCACGGCTATACAATTTATAAAGGACGCGCCCAAGGCATAGGTGCCACGTGTCAAAAAAAAAAGGAAAAACATAGTAAGCCGTACCCTCTTTCTACACCCGCCCAGAGCCTATGCGCCACGTGGCGAACCTGTACAGCCGGTCGGCTGTACTATTTTCAATTTAAATTTTTGAAAAAATTGAGATTTTTTAAATACATATTATTTTTGTTCAATAATATGTTAGAATTATGCGTATAATACGTGAAATTTTTGTAAAAAATAAGTGTATTAACATGAGAAATACTTGCATACGTGTATAATACAATTATGGTCTTTGATTCTACTTTTCGTGATGGGGTTCATAGTTGGTGGTTTTATTCTTGGTGCAGTCCACAATGCATATCTCCTCATTGTGGTTGTGATCCTTTTTGGTGCTGTTAATTGATGGTAAACTTGATATCATCACCCAACGAGAATCTCCATTTTTCTTTCAATTCCCATGATGATAAACTAGTTTTGCTGCAGGCTTGAGCGCCTTAGTTACCTCTCTGCTTAGGCTAATCTAATGCAGTCAACAACAATGGAATGTTTTCTCTCTAAGGTCTAAAGCTGGAGCAAACACAAAGAGGCATGGGGCTCATTTAGTAATCGTCACTGATGACTGCTGAGTGTTAAAACTTGAATAGTAGGGCCTGTGTAATATCCCGGGCGCATATAGAGATTATCTGGTTCTGTCTCAGCAAGCCATGCATACTCCTTTTCTTTACCATCATCTATCTTAATTCCGTTCAATGTAGCTACAGTGTTTAGCAGACAACTATAATTATCAGTTTTCATAATTTTTTTCTCTTTTCTTTTCTTTTCATGCGAATAAGTTTACTAAGGAAAGAAAACTCTAACTAGAAACCAAAGCTACTTACCAAAGGCAGTATACGGGTAATCGCGGTAGTAGCTAGTAGGGCACATTTTCTGCCTCCATCATCTCTGTGGTAAAATAATGCAAATTTAATAAATAGAAATTAATTATTTTGTGGATTTTTTATTTAATTTGTTATATTAATCATAATTAAAATATAATTTTTAATTAAATAATTCAAAAAGACTAAGATATTACTTAATTACATATATTAAATTAAAGAAGTAGGCCAAAAATAAGAGTAAAGAAACTAATTTTACATTTTTAAATTTAAAAAAAATACCTCCGACGAAAGTTCGTTGACACAGGTCTATGCTGGCGAAATTTCCCGAAATAAATATTCTTTTTAAAAAGTATAGCCGCGCGGCTATACTATTTATATATTAAAAAAGATAAGCCAACGCCTAGGAGCCATGTCTTAAACAGTAACGCCGGGCAGCTATACTATTTTTAAAAACAATTAGGCAAAACGAGTATAGTCGCACGGCTATACTATTTCTTAAAAAAATTCAAAAAATCAAGTATAGCCGGTCGGCTATACTATTTATATATATAGCCCATTGCCTATGCACCACGTGTCAACACGTAAAGCCGTACGGCTATACTATTTTTAAACAAAATTAAAATAAGGAAATAAATGGAGTAAAGCTTTAAGTTCCAGATAGAAAAAATGAAGAGAGTATTGAAGCTTTAATAAATGGCCTCAGTCCAATTTCCCATTGCAGAGGGAATGTATAAACAGACATGGAGATTACCTCTGATTCTTCTGTGTCTAGTTTATGAGATGTGGTATTTGCAAGCACATGCTTCTCAAGTGCTGTTGTACACTCCTTCAAAGAGATGACAGATAACAAACAAAATCATAAGGGGAAAAAAACAGATGCCAGTATAGCCGGTCGGCTATACGTTTTAAATATATTATATTTAAAAGTCCAGCCGCCCGGCTATACCATTTTTTTTTAAAAAGGCCAAAAATGGTCATACGAGCTTTACGTTTCCCTCGCTGCCTGGCTCGCTTCACTGAATCACTTCCCATCAAAGTCTTCAAGGCCAAAAAAGAGGTGGGCAATTCCTCATTTGAGCTCTCATGGCGTCTCTCAAGAAATCAAAGAAAAGCAAGAAAGATAGGAAATTGAAGAAAAACTTAAGCTTGGTTCCAGTCGAGCCTAAAGCCGCAGACTCTGACTGGTGGGATAGTTTCTTCAACCCAAGGTTTTTCTTTTCACTAAGCTCAGTCTCCAATTACTCTGCTTCCTGCTTTTTAGTGGAATGCATTCAGATTACTTGTAGTTTTAACTAAATTATCTTTATATTTTGTTTATTTTGGAAAATCTATGATGCACAGAAATCTAGAACAGGTGGTGGATTTTGTTCTGTAATGTTAAATTCGGTAATGATGTTCATAATTAGAGCTCAAAACCTATAAACTGTGCTTTTGTTCAGTTAGGCTGTTGGAAAAAGGCCGAGGCGCTAGGCGGCCGCCTAGGCGGGGTCTAGGCGGGTCCTTCTTTTTTTTTCTGACTTTAGCTAAATTATGAAGTCGCTTCAATTTCTGATGGCCGCTATACGAAAATTGGATTTTTGATTATGTGTTTTGCATCTTGAAAAGAGAAAGATGTGGTCGAAAAGTTATTACTAGAGGGAGCAATAGAGATTTTAGCCTGTAAAAGTAGTAGTAATTGTTAGGAATCTGGTTGGCCTAAGTTGGGATGAGTAGTTGGAAATCCTAACCAAATCAGACTTGGGGAATATACAGACACAGAAACACATAGTCGGGCTTTGCTTGTTGTCATAGACTATGAAGCTGCAATTCACCTCTGGAGGTTGACAAGTTTGACTTTGTTGTTTGCATGAGTGCCTATATCGGCGTCGTTTTTGGCAGCATTGAAACTGGACTAGTCTTAGCGGTACGTATCATTATTGTGTGAGACGGTAACACTATATCTAACAACTTAAAACTACACATTAGAACTAATATTTCTTTTTTCTTCTGTGTAGGTTGCCATATCTGTGACAGGGTACTTTTGCTTGTGGCAAGGCCAAGGACTTTTGTTCAAGGAAACCTTCCGAATTCCATGGTTTACAGAAATGTTGAGCAGTATCCCAATGCAAGCAATGTTCCTGGAATTCTCATACTTGAGATTGATGCTCCCATTTACTTTGCAAATACCAACTACTTAAGAGAAAGGTACTAATTAATTAAACCTGAGTAAGAACTAAAGATTTGGGGCTTAAGATAGATAATAGGGACTAAGGTTTTGTTGAGTTGTTCTTGAGGTGGTTGTACCATCTTTTTGTTTTCTGGTCATGTTTATGTTCTAGTGAGCCAGAACTAAAGATTTGGGGCTTAAGATAGATAAGTGGCTTATCTATGGTACTGGGAAAGAGACATCCCACTTTGTTTGAGAAGGTTTGAATCAGACATTTGATTTTTATGATGATTTCACAAATTTTCATCTACAAATTGATTGAATAACTAGTGTAGTGCTTCAAGTTACCAGTCGCTTCTAACCAAGGTGCTTTCTGATAGTGCCACCATACTCATTAAACATAGAGACCTCTGTGTGTCATCCGTTTGATTCTAATAATTTCCAAGTGTTAAGTTGGTTAACTGGCCTAGCGTTTGAGCCATAAATTACTGAAACAGTCCCATGATGAAAGAATTGATTGCGTTCTCATGATTATTTGTGATCATAGAAACTGCTTTCCAGAAATCCTTAATCTTCTCTGATGTATTTTGTTTCATTTTGTAGGCACACAGGTTGGAGAGGACTTGATGAAGGCATCGTTGTAGTTGGGACTTGCATGATTTAAAGCTACAATGGCTGGTTGCATGTCACCCCATCCAAATAATTAATCACGGAAAAAACACTGTCGGCGGGTCATCAAACGCCATAGAAAGGCAACCTGCTCCGCTTCAGATGGTACCAAGAAAAGAAATACCAGTTTCAAGAAAATAAATAGTGATGCAGGAGCTCGCGTGGAGTGACTATGCTGTCAGTGAGTTTGTTCATGTGGCTTTGAGAATGGTGCAACAACTACTCACAGAAGATCTAAGGTTTCTAATTCATCATTCCATCTCACCCCAGCTGCAATGGCACCATAGTCAATATGATTCGAATGGTGTGTGCTTTCTTTCATCAGATTTCAACTATCTTTCAATTTCAACCAATAGTGCTGACAAGAAAATTCATAGCCCTTGAATCTCATATTTTCAAAGTTATTCATTTGCAGTAATTTTCGAGGAGGAAGCTTGGTTTGACTCATTGAGTATTCTGGAGTCTGACTCGGATGATGACTTTATCAATATACATGGAGGTATTAGCCATCAGCCTATAACTACATATTACATAATCAAAGCTTTGTGGTCTTGTTTGATTGCAAAACGTCATTACTACTGAAGTAATTTTTCTTGAGCTACTTATTGGAAAAGGATTTTGTTTTGTTTTCTTAATTTTCTTCTCTTATTCTGAGGACGGTTTTCCATTAGCAAGCAATCCAGTTGGGAATATCTCAAGTGGCCAAGTACTTCAGTACAAAAGATCTGCTCGCTTTGTTGATAATGGGTGTAAGTATGAAGAATACCAAAGCTATATGAAAATAGATGGAGGTAAATCAGATAAAATCACAGGCAAAGATGAGCGCAGGGAATCAAATCGGTTTTCACTTGTTAGTCCCCAGGGCTATGTGCTTTCTCGCTTAGGGAAGGCTGATGAAGTTTGCAGTAAGAGGAAGAATATATTAGATCACTCTTATGGAAGCTTTAAAGGACTTATAGAGGATGGACATTATTCTAATGAAAAAATTGAAGACAATGCCCTGAAATCTGGCTTATCTCAATTGGTACCTTCTGTAAGTTTCAATTATATGATTCTAAGTGCAGAGAGTTTGGTTCCACAGTCCCAGAGAAAGCCATCAGCCGTTTTCCGACTTTCTTTTAAAAGGAGATCCTGTTATGCAGAAGAAACCATTGAACAATGTAAGTATTCAAATATTGGATTCTTTTTTTATCCATGAAATCTTTTCCATGTTCCAAACCTTTAAAATTCCTTGTTCTGGCATACAAGACTAGGATATGTTTCTAACATTTGTTGAATTGAGCGGATATCTTTGCAAAGTTTCCAGATGAGACAGGTGGATCTGATATTGAAGTGTTGGTCTATGGACCTGAGACTATGAAAGAATCAGTGGGGCATCAATTTGCCAGAAAAAATGTGGAGCTAAGAAGCAGAAACCCAATTTCAGCTTCCACTCCCTCAATCTCACACCAGAAACCATAATAAAAAGTGAAGATAATAACAGTTAGATTTCCATTTAAAATAGTATAGTGATCAATCAACTCTAGATATTTGGTATTTTAATCAACAGGTTTGTGTCTGTCGAGATTGATCAGTTCTTGTAATTGCTTCTTAGGCTTCCAAGATATTGTATTTGAGCAATGTACAAATATATATATATATATATATATAAATGTCTCTTTGTAGTATAAATATGAACTTTAATGATTGGAACTTTGCTTTTTTTCAGTTGCTCTTCCACTGCAGATAGTTTACTTTTTATGGTGTGGAATAATGGGGTGCACTCGCCCAATTTGGGAAAATGTGGAATAATGTCTATCTAGATTAAAATTCAAGTTGTCAAAGCAATCAAATAATTATATCATAATCATGTTGGTTAATGGTTACAGGAAGATCCATGAGGAGCCAAATCTTTCAATTTTTTTTTTTTTTTTTTTAAAATTCGCTCTTTGTGCCCCACATTTTCTTTATATCCCGCTGAATCTTAGTAAAATTTAAAATTACTCACTACACCCCATTTTTCTTCCTAAATTATCCTCATGGACCTCATTTCTTAACTTACCTTGTTTCAATGGGAGTCCACCGAATTTGTTTATGTTTTACAGTGGTTGTCCACCGAATGTGTTTCGTTTTTCAGTGGTAGTTCACTAAATCTGTTTCAGTTTCTCAGTGGTAGTACACCGAATTTGTTTCCGTTTTTCAGTGGTAATCTACTGAATTCGTTTCTTGTTTCAATGATCATCTATCGAATTCGTTACTGAGTTTGTACTTAATATTGTTTTTTAGATATGAAGAGGACTCAGAGGTGAAATTATAAATTGTTATGACTTCCACTTTTTCAATTTTGTCCTTTTTACTAAGGCATTGAATTCAAATTCATTACAAGAGCATGACGAGCGTATGTTGTCCTTTACTAGGCCTCTCGTGGCATTAGGGGAAACAGTTGCATTGTGTACAAGACCTTCCTAAGTTTATCAAGCAATTGAGACCTTGCAGCAGATTTTAGAGGGTACAAACATACGGTCTACCATGACATATCAACGTCGTCATGGCTAACTGACTTGCTAGCATGCCTCTGTTAGAACTCATATAACTTTTGTTGTTTTGATTAGTTATTGCATGTTTGTATTAGAACTCAGGGAACTTTGGAACTTTAGAACTCATTCAAATCCTTATGAAGTTTATCCCACCCAAAAAAGAAATATAAGAAAATAAATAGAATTATTATATTTATAATCTCAATTCTGTAGTGGGTGCATTTTCGTTAGTCATTAGGATGACTGTATCTGTAGTAGCTACATTCTTCACTCCCTAAAGTTGTTGAAACACATCCACATGCTCTAGGCGGGTCCTTTCTTTTTTTTTTCCTGACTTTAGCTAAATTATGAACTCGCTTCAATTTCTGATTGCCGCTATACGAAAATTGGCTTTTGATTATGTGTTTTGCATCCTGAAAAGAGAAAGTTGTGGTCGAAAAGTTATTACTAGAGGGAGCAATAGAGATTTTACCGTGTAAAAGTAGTACGTAATTGTTAGGAATCTGCTTCGGCCTAAGTTGGATGAGTAGTTGGAAATCCTGACAGAATCAGACTTAGGGATTATACAGACACTGAAACATATAGTCGGGCTTTGCCTGTTGTCATAGACTATAAAGCCGCAATTCACTTTTGGAAGGTTGACAATTTTCACTTTGTTGTCTGCATAAGTGCCTTTATCGGCGTCGTTTTTGGCAACGTTGAAATTGGACTAGTCTTAGCAGTACGTATCATTATTGTGTGTGACGGTAACACCTGAACTAACAACTTAAAACTACGCATTAGAACTAATATTTCTTTTTTCTTCTGTGTAGGTTGCAATATCTGTGATCAGGGTACTCTTGTTTGTGGCAAGGCCAAATTCCATGGTTTACCGAAATGTTGAGCAGTGTCCCAATGCAAAAAATATTGTTCCTGGAATTCTCATACTTGAGATTGATGCTCCCATTTAATTTGCAAATACCAACTACTTAAGAGAAAGGTACTAATTAATTAAACCTGAGTAAGAACTAAAGATTTGGGGCTTAAGATAGATAATAGGGACTAAGGTTTTGTTGAGTTGTTCTTGAGGTGGTTGTACTATCTTTTTGTTTTCTAGTCATGTTTATGTTCTAGTGATTCAGAACTAAAGATTTGGGGCTTAATATAGATAAGTGGCTTATCTATGGGACTGGGAAAGAGACATCCCACTTTGTTTGTGAATGTTTGAATCAGACATTTGATTTTTATGATGATTGCACAAATTTTCATCTACAAATTGATTGAATAACTAGTGTAGTGCTTCAAGTTACCAGTCGATTCTAACCAAGGTGCTTTCTGATGGTGCCACCATACTCATTAAACATAGAGACCTCCGTGTGTCATCCTTTTGATTCTAATAATTTCCAAGTGTTAAGTTGGTTAACTGGCCTAGCGTTTGAGCCATAAATTACTGAAAGTCTCATGATGAAAGAATTGATTGCTTTTAGAAAATGGTTGAAGAGGAGACAGAAAAAGTTAAAAGGATTTGCAAAGGACTCCACTGTTCCTTTTAGAGAAAGACTAAAGATCTTGGCTGGGGTGGTAACTCCTGAGGATATCGGTCGGAGTTCTGCCGAGAAGAAGCTTGTACATGTATATAATGACAAACCAGTTCTTTCATGCCCCCAGCACATATTTTACAGGGTAAACATTGAACATTTATGTTGCTGAGTGTTAAGAAGATGACACATAAAAACCATGTTTGACTTTATCAAGCTCTCTCACATGCCGGGTCCTAACTACTTTGAGATTGATCTGGACATTCATCGCTTCGACTACATATCAAGGAAGGGTCTCGAATTGTTTTATGAACGTTTTAGAAAACGGAATAGCCGAGCGGCGATACTCTCTTCAAAAATATTATATTTATGCAGTATAGCCAGGCGGCTATACTCTCTTTTAAAATATTCTGTTTATGTCTTATAGCTATACTTTAAATGTTCTGTTTATAGAGTATAGCCGAGCGACTGGACTTTTAAAATATTCTATTTTACGAGTATATCCAAGCGGCTATACTCTTTAAATATAACAACAAAAATCTGGATTTCTCTATAGCAAATATGAGCCTTGAGATAATGAATCAATTAGACATGATATGTTTTTACGTTCTAGCTTTGTTCCTCTGTGTGCGCTTAGGGTTGAGATAAATTTATGACTTGTTTATGTGTTGCACAAGTATGAGAAGTGATATAATGACGTTGCTTATCTTTCAAGTGCCCCGTGTCATATTTCCTAAATATATTCGAATATTTAAAAAGTATAGCGGCACGTCTATATCGAATAATAGTATAATTACTAATTGAAGTAATTAAAAAGGCTAAGATATTACTTAATCTATATATATATATATATAAAGCAAAAGGCAGATAATTGTGAAACATTCAAAATACTAGAAAATGTCCTTGGTTAATTCAAACATTAAGAATTGAAATTATTAATTAAATGAGGATAATATGGTCAATTCACTTTTTTATATTAAAAAAATTAAAATTAAAAACAAAACAAAATAATAGATCCAACTTTTATGGAACATAACCGCCCATATTATCCTTTTTTTTAATTCTAAAAATAAAATAAAAAAGAGAAAAGAAAACCAATTAGCGCATGCTGGCTAGTATATATATTAAATTAAAGAAGTTGGGCAAAAAATAAAAGTAAAGAAACTAATTTTATATTTTAAAAATAAATACATAAAGAGTTCCAATCGCGACGGCATTTCGTCGGCACAAGTCTATGCCGGAAATTATTTGCCGAATTAGACCTCTCCTGAGGAAAGTTTCCTATGCCGACAAAATGTCGTCGGGAGAGGTCTAATCCAGCAGAATTGGGCCGAGATAGACCTATGTCGACGAAAGTTCATCGAGAGAGATTTTTTAAAATAATAAGTATAAGCTTAGTATCTTTAGGTCAGTAAATTTTTATTTTCAATTTTCAATTTAGTAATTCAATAAAATCTTAGCCTTATTTAATTACTTTCATCTATATATATAAAGCAAAAGGTAGAGAATGGTGAAACATTCAAAATATCTTAAAGGCCCTTGGTTAATCTAAACATTAAAAATTAAAATTATTAATTAAATGAGGATAATATGGTAAATTCACACTTTTTCATCTTAAAAAAATTAAAATTAAAAGAAAAATCAGATAATGAATCATATTTTTATGGAACACAACTACCCATTATCTTATTTATTCTAAAATAAATTAAAATTAAAAAAAAAGGCATCTCGCAGGCGTGGAAGCACGTGCAGAGAGGCTAGTTAGTAATTATGTTTTAATCATCATTTATTTTGTGAATAATTAGTATTAAATGTTTTAATTAAATTCATAAATATATTACTTAATAAATAGTAATTGGTTTTTTAAATTTTTTTCTTTAATAAAATACTTAAATATTAATGATTCACTAAGTAAATAATAACTTAAAACATAACTACTAAATAATGTAATTAAAAAAGAGAAATTCAGATTATGATATTTCAAGGGTATAGCCGTGTGGCTATACGTTTAAAATATTATGTTTATAGAGCTTTACCAAAACAAATTTATGTCCAGGGTGCTAAGTTGAATCAATAAATGAGTGATCATGAAAATACTCTTGTAATTCGCTAACTCACTTGAGAAGTTATTTTATTGCTTGTGTACATATCCACATGACATGTTGATGTGATTTATCAAAATTTTCTCAAATTATTACAATTCATGCACAATAGTTATAAAATACAAATTTTACACAAAAAGAAGGAAGAATAAGAGAAAATATCGTAGCCAAAGGTGGTTCATATGGTAGATCCAAAGATTCCTATGAAGATTAATCCGTTCTCTTAGAAAGGTTAGAACAGTGGTTCATATTTTTCGAAAATTAGTATAGCCGACCGGCTATACTCGGTTTTTACCAAATTTATTTTAGAAATAGTACTTCCAAGCGGCTATACTCGGTTTTTTTTTCTAATTTTATTTAAAAATTAGTATAGCGTGGTGGCTATACATGTTTTTCCATTATTTTTTTTTATAAAAATAGTATAGTTGGGAGGCTTTACCCGGTATTTTCTTAACATAAGTAATTCTAGCCTATGGCTTGTTTGAGAATGATTCTAGATGTATCAAAAATCACTTTTATAGAGAATCACTTTAAGTGGTTTAAATGATTTTATAAAGCAAGCACATGTAAGGTACTTCTCCCCATAAGTAATTCTGACTCCCAAACGAACCCTAAGAAGTGTTTTCCACAAGTCACTTCCAAGTACTTTTAAATTTTTTTGACAAAAAACAAAAAAGAAGTTTTAAATTTTTAATAAAAATTTGGATGTAGTTGTAATAACTAAAGATTAAAAGAAAGGGTGATTTTATTAGCACCCCCAAATTTGCTCTTTGCACTCCACATTCTCTTTACACCCTACTGAATTTTAGTAAAATTTAAAATTACTCACTATACCCCATTTATTTTTCTAGATTACCCTCATAAACCTCAGTTCTTAACTTACCTAGTTTCAGTGGGAGTCCATCGAATTTGTTTCAGTTTTACAGTAGCTATCCACCAAATGTGTTTCTATTATACCATGAAATTCAAGATTCTTTTATCCCCAAAATGTTGGTGGATCCCTATTTTTTGTTGTTGTATTTATGGGTTTAACCCGTATTATTTTTTATAAATAAAATCCATTTTTTATTCTTGCCTAATGGGCTAGTAGCTGGAAATCATTAGAATGGGAGGTATTGGAAAGGATTTTTTTTTGGTCTGAGTATTGGAAAGGATTTAAATTCTCATTCTCCAACATTACTAGTATAAATAAAATATTTGAAGAAATAACTCTATCCTAATTTGCAAAAGTGGTATTTTAGCCCTAAACCCTAAAATAACATGACAAAATTGTATATTTTCGGCTATACTATTTTAATATATTACTTTAATGGTACAGCCATGCGGCTCCACTCTTTGAAAACATCCGAATATTTTAAAGGTATAGCCAATTGGCTATACTCTTCAAATTCATTCCAAAAGAACTCGACGCTTGCACTCGCAGTCACACAGCCATTTCGCTTACAAACTTCACAGAGCCTCTCTCTCTCTCTCTCTCTCTCTCTCTCTCTCTCAACTCAAGCTTCGATTTTTTTTCTTTCGTTTCGGCTGCTGCGTTGATTGGATTGGATTGGATTGGATTGGACTCTCTCTATGAAAACCATCAAATGTCATTCAGCTATTGAAATCTCCACTAAGATAACAACTCTGATGTTATAAGGGAGCTAGGCGGCCTGGGCGAATCTAGGCAGCGCCTAGGCGGCTCTAGGCGGCCTGGGGTGATCTAGGCGGCGCCTAGGCGGGCTAGGCGGTTCTAGGTGGCCTGGGCGGGTCTAGGCGGCCTGGGCAGCCATCAAATGTCATTCAGCTGTTGAAATCTCCACTAAGATAACAACTCTGGTGCTATAAGGGAGCTAGGCGGCCTGGGGAGATCTAGGCGGGCTGGGCGGTTCTAGGAAGCCTAGGTGTTGAGAGTTAAGCTGCATACTAGTTTTGAATCAAGCTACAGATGTTAATCCTGCAGATTGACAATGAATAGGATGATGAAATCGAAGGAACTGAAGAACTTTCCTTTTATAGTAATAGCTGTTATAGGATATGTCTAACAACTAGTTTTCCTACTATTTGGGAAACTCTACAGCTGTCATTCTTAGCTGTCTTAGTCCTTTATGCTGTAACAATTTCTATCCTAGGTGTAAGAATCATAGCCTCCAATGACCTTGAATGGCTGGAGATGAGTCCTTGTGTCCTAGTTTTTAGGATCTGTTTTTTTGGCAGCTTGTGTCATGCATATAGTGTGATTTTGGCTCTGATGCAATACACAGAAAAATAGACTGAATCATTCTCATTCTCTCTGAGTTTTCTCTCCTCTGCATACGTTGCATATACTGGTTCTATTGGTTTCTGTGAATCAGGCACTAAAACCAGCAAACAAAATACCAAATTCTAACATGGTATCAGAGCTTCTGGTCTGATTTCAGAGAAGGGGCGTGAGCTGTGAGAAAGGGGTTTTTCCTGAAATCTCTATAAGGGATAAAGGTTGCTCTTTTATTGTGTGGTTCACTGAGATTCACATCAAAATGGTGGGTTCAGGTTCTGCAGGTGGAGATTTACGAACTCCACAGTTCAACGGTTCAAACTATGATTTTTGGTCAGTAAAAATGGAGACTATCCTCATAGCATATGACCTATGGGATGCAGTGGAGATTGGAATACAACCACAGCCGATTATTGAGCAGGAAGCAGGCTCTGAAGGCACTGGAGATGAAGAGAGTGAGGCTGAGCAAATCCCAGTGGAAGCACCTACTATCTCCAGAGAAGATAAGATCAAAAATGCCAAGGCTTTGAGTCTTATTCAAGGAGCACTGACAGATGAACTCTTTCCTCGCATCAGAAATGAGAAGACTGCAAAAGGTGCTTGGGAAATTCTAAGAAGAGAGTTCAGAGGAGATAAAAAGGTAAGAGCTGTGAAATTACAAGCTATTAGAGCTGACTTTGAATATTTGAGAATGAATGATGTTGAATCTCTGGATGACTACTTGGCTCGTTTTTTTGAAATTGTAAACAACCTGAAATCTCTAGGAGAAGATGTAACAGAGAAAAGGATTGTCCAAAAATTGTTGATGAGTCTAAGTAGGAGGTACAAGTCCATAGTGTCAATCATTGAAGAAACCAGAGATCTTGACACTATTAGAGTTGAAGAAATTCTTGCATCTGTCAAGGTTTATGATAAGAGAGAGGATTTGCATGATGAAAGGGACAAATTGGCAGGAACTGAGAAAGCTTTTAGCAGTCTCAGAGTTGGAAATGATCAAGCTTCTGGAGCTAACAAAAGTTCTCAGGGAAAGCAAAATCAAAAATGGCAAGGACAAAACAAAAAGGGCTCAAATTGGTCTCAAGGTGGAAATTTTAACAACAATAATGGCTCTGGAGGGAATTGGAACAGCAGCTTCAATTCACAAAACAAGCAAGGGAGTAGTAGTCAAGGTGGTGTGAAACCACAGTGCCAAGTGTGTCAGAAATACCATTTTGGTATATGCAGATATAAGGGAAAACCCAAGTGTGGAAAGTGCAGTCGATTTGGTCATTTAACTAAGGACTGTGAAAGTGGTAAACAAGTTGCAAACTGTGCAAAAGAGGAAGAAGTAACCACAGGAACAATGTTCTATGCTTGTCATGCAAGCTCAATTGCATCAAGCAAGTCTGTGTGGTTTGTCGACAGTGCTTGCAGCAATCACATGACCTCTCAAGAGTCCTTGTTGATCAATCTTGATAGGTCAGTGACCTGCAAAGTGAAAATGGGCACTGGTGACCTTGTTCAAGCCACAGGAAAAGGGACACTAGTAGTTGAGACAAGAAAAGGGAGAAGATATATAAATGAGGTGCTGTTAGTCCCTGGTCTGGATGAGAATTTGTTGAGTGTAGGACAAATGATGGAGCATGGGTACTACATTCTATTTGGAGGAAACTATGCATTAATATGTGATGATAGCAGCCTTGATAATGTTGTTGCCAAAGTAGCAATGGCTGGAAATAGATGCTTTCCATTGTCTATGGAATCTATCTGCTCAATGGGAATGAAAGCAACAGTACAAGTAGATCCATGGGTTTGGCATAGGAGATTGGGGCATTTGAACTTTGCAAGCATGAAAAAAATGCAGCAAACACAAATGGTGCTAGGCTTACCTGATTTCTCAGAAAAAGAAGGAGTATGTGAAGGCTGTGTGTATGGTAAAAGCCACAGAGAACCATTTGAAAATGAGAAGTCTTGGAGAGCTAAGCATCCACTTGAGTTGATACACACGGATGTATGTGGTCCAATGCAAAATGAGTCCATTGGAGGAAATAGATACTTCATCACATTCATTGATGACTATTCAAGAATGTGTTGGGTATATTTTCTCAGAAACAAGTCAAGTGTGATAAGTGTGTTCAAAAAGTTCAAAGCATTTGTTGAGCTACAAAGTGGATTCAACTTAAAGAAACTAAGAAGTGACAGAGGTGGAGAGTACACTTCACATGAATTCCTTGAGTTTTGCAGTGATCTTGGCATGGAGAGGCAACTGACTATTGCCTACTCACCTCAGCAAAATGGGGTTGCTGAGAGAAGAAACAGAACCATCTGTGAAATGGCAAGATCAATGATGACTGAGAAGAAAATCCCTGTAAAGTTCTGGGCTGAAGCTGTAACACCCCGACTCCAAATTTATTCCTATTTTAATTAAATTAAGAGAATTATTAATTTACTCTTGGGTTAAGGGTAATTTTGGTCATTTTCTTATCCATAAGGATTTCGGGACCACGAGTGGTTTGGTTGTGTAGGTGGTACTGAGACGAAACCGTAGACAGGCGGTAGCCTTGAATCGGAGTTGTAACGAAGTTTTGGCGATCAAAATATGTTCGGTGGCGGAACCGTAATTAATTTGAAAAGAGTTTGGGGTAAAATCAGATTTTTCACATTTACCCCTCACTTTCTCTCTCTCTCTCCCGCGTCTCCTCCCTCTGCGTCAAACCCATTCCCGTCACTGTGCAAGCCGAACGGAAACCACCGTGCCGCCGCCGCCACAGTCCACCTCAGCCCTCGAGATCAGTCCCGTTCGACTCGTCTCGAAGCCCCGATCACAACCCACCCCATTTCCCCGCCGGAAACCTCGAATCCCGACGTCAGTTTCGACTGGTTCAAACCGGAAGTTTCCGATCGTTGCGCCGCCGCCTCCGCCGTCTGTTTCAAGTAAAGTTGGTGAGTTTTCTTCTTCTTTTTACGTGCTCTAGCTGTTTTTGGGGTTAGATTATCGATTTTGAGTTTTGGAACCGAATTGGAAACCTAGGTTTTGGCCGGTTTTCAATTTGAAATTCCGGCCAGTTCCCGTGCGAATTGGACCTCGTGGTAGTTGAATAAAGTGATCCTGACCTTGAGAAGAAGCTAGGGTAGGAAGGGTGAGCGTTGGTGTGGAGATTTTCCGTCGCCGGAAATTCCTCTACACACCCACGCGCTGCCGGCGCGTGTGGCGGCGCGTGGGCAAGGTTGGTGAAGTTGCTTTTCATCCTGATGAGATCAGTAGGTTGTCACGAGTGTGTAGGATTTTACGGATCTCAATTTGGATGTCGTTTGACTATCGAACGGATTTCGCATATTGTGCGTTATTAGGGTTCGATAAGTTCTAACCGTTGGATCGTTTCCAAACTGAAGTATGTTGATTTAGGTACTCTTAGAAACCTATAGGAATTCGCGGATCGTGAATCGGAGCCCCGGATGTTCCGATTCAATAATTCGAAGTTTGTGGGAATAACGATAACCGTAGGATGGGAAGCGATTCCCAAACCTGTAAGGATATCCTATTGGACGTACACGCACCGGGATCTTGGGGATTTAAGTATTCTCTTTTGTGAATTCCCGTTTCGAAGTGTATTATATTAATCAAGAGTTCGTATCTCGAAATAGGTACTTCGGTCGATCGTTCGCAGCAGGCAGGACCCTCTCGGGGCCGGGCAGCGTGGGATTACCTGTGAGTGGACTTTGTTTTCAAGCATTTGCATGGTTTTATTGATAAAAGATTTGTGCATATGTTTTAATGGAAATGTGATTTATTAAGTATTTGGTTGATGACTTTGGATATTCATATACGTATTGGCAATATATTTTGAGTATGGCTATGTTTGAGTATTATGGATATGTTTATATGGATTTTGGGATGTCTATCTATATTGCCTATATATAGAGTATGAGGAGTTGATGTGGTGAGATTGTGCTATGTATGGAGTATGAGGAGTTGTTGTTATGAGATTGTGGAAAGATATGAGTTTGAGGGATGGTTGTGAGATGTATGAGTATGTTAGGTGAGTACCATTCCCTGGTTACTAGGCTTCCCACACATGGCGTTGGCAGTGCCGGTGTGGTGGGAAGGTCATGAGATTGCTGGTCCCATACATGGCGTTGGCAGTGCCGGTGTATGGGAAGAGTATGTATATTGCTTAGTATCATCACACATGGCGTTGGCAGTGCCGGTGTGGGGATGATACTGTCTGCGCGCGTAGGACTTGATATGAGATTTGAGATTTGTGAGCTACACGTGGCGTTGGCAGTGCCGGCGTGTGAGCTTTGGAGTTCAGTCCCCCGGTTGGACTACTCATCCCTGGACGCGGGTTCTGGTTCGAAAATCCTGCGTACCAGCCAACAATCCCCCGGTTGGATTGTCTTCCCCGGTACATTAGTATGGAGAGAAGTATACGTTATATTATAGATATATATATAAATATATACTTATATAGGTATACATATGTATGGGTTGGTGAGAGTTGCATACTTGTGGGAATGGAGTTGTGGTTTGAGATTTTTGAGAGTTATTGGACTTTGAGATTTTATGTTTGAGTATTTGATTTATGGATGTGGAGACTGCATGCTTGAGCATTATTTTTACATGGTGGCCCCCAGGCAGTATTTCCGTTTTGCGCCCCCCAGGCAGTAGTGGCTTTTGGAAGCGCTCAAGCAAGTTGCGAGCTCCAAACATTTCCATCTGTAGATAGGACTCGTGTAAATTCCTTCTACTCTGCTGTTGTTGTAATCAAATTCTGTTAGATGCTCTGTTATCGCCCATGTTAGGCTGTTACTGGAGGCCGGAGGCCACTATACTTTGAATTGATGTATGTTGAAAGCATGCTGGCAGTTGGGATTTATATTATGTAAATTATGCAGGTTGAATATTGTTGGGCTTGAGCATTTTACAGGGGAGACTCTGCCAAAATTTTGGTAGGATGTCTTGGGTTATTAGTAAATGGGCCCGGCATCGGTGAGATGTCGGCAACAATACGGGGTCCGCCCCGGTTTGGGGAGAAATTCCGGGGCGGGTCCTGTCAGCTTGGTATCAGAGCATTAGGTTCATTTTCCTTCGACTTTTGCGCTTTTGCTGCATTGTTGATCCAATGATTTATGGTTTCTTTGTGTGGAACCATGTCGACTCGTCGACCAAGAACGCGAGGTCGTGGTCAGAGATGGGGGCCACACATTCTTTCGTAGCACACAACTTCGTACCTTATGTCAGTGTGAGACCGACACCCATGACAGGAAGCTTTAGTATTTCTCTACCCACGGGGGAAGTCTTGTATGCAGACCGGGTATTCAGAGAGTGTTATGTTCAAGTAGATGATGCGTGGTTGGAAGCCGATTTGATTCCCTTAGATTTGGTGGATTTGGATATTATTTTAGGGATGGATTGGCTAGAGAAGCATCATGCGTCCGTGGATTGTTTCCGGAAGGAAGTGACACTCCGGAGTCCAGGACAACCCAAAGTGATATTCCGGGGAGAACGTAGAATCCTCCCTACTTGCCTTATCTCTGCTATTACAGCTAAGAGGTTACTCCAAAAAGGGTGTGAAGGATTCCTAGCTCATATCATCGACGCTCGAGAGATCACCTTGAATCTGGAAGATATTCCCGTTGTTAGTGAGTTTCCCGATGTCTTTCCAGATGATCTTCCTGGGTTACCTCCTGAAAGGGAAATTGAGTTTACTATTGAACTCCTTCCAGGCACCAATCCTATCTATCTAACTCCTTATAGGATGGCACCAGCCGAGCTTCGGGAATTGAAGACTCAGTTGCAGGAATTAGTGGATATGGGTTTCATCCGACCTAGTGTTTCCCCATGGGGTGCACCGGTGTTGTTTGTGAGGAAGAAGGATGGGACCATGAGGTTATGTATTGATTACCGGCAGTTGAATAAGGTGACAGTACGTAACCGGTATCCTTTGCCTCGGATTGATGATTTGTTTGATCAGTTGAAAGATGCCAAGTATTTCTCTAAGATTGATCTGAGATCAGGGTACCATCAATTGAGGATTAGAGAAGAGGATGTTCCCAAGACCGCATTCAGAACGCGGTATGGTCATTATGAATTTTCTGGTGATGCCGTTTGGACTGACGAATGCTCCAGCAGCGTTTATGGATCTCATGAACAGAGTGTTCCGACCATACTTGGATCACTTTGTGATTGTGTTCATAGATGATATCTTGGTTTACTCTAAGACTTTGGAAGGGCATAAGAAGCATCTAAGATTGGTATGAGGACTTTAAGGAGGAAGCAGCTTTATGCCAAATTTAGCAAGTGTCAGTTTTGGCTGGATAGAGTGGTATTCCTTGGACATGTAATCTCAACGGAAGGGATTTATGTGGATCCGCAGAAAGTTGAGGCTATTGTGAATTGGGTGCAACCCACAAGTGTGACGGAAGTACGGAGTTTTCTGGGGTTAGCAGGGTTACTATCGTCGATTTGTGGAAGGGTTCTCTTCGATAGCAACACCTCTCACGAGGTTGACAAGGAAAGATGTTGCATTTGAGTGGACGGAGGAGTGCGAACAGAGTTTTCAGGAGTTGAAGAAGCGGTTGACCACCGCACCTGTTTTGGCTCTTCCTGATAACTCAGGGGGCTTCGTGATCTACAGTGATGCATCTTTGCAAGGATTGGGATGTGTTCTGATGCAACATGATCGGGTGATTGCTTATGCCTCGAGGCAACTCAAGAAGCATGAGCGGAATTATCCAGTTCATGATTTGGAACTTGCTGCAGTGGTGTTTGCTTTGAAGATTTGGCGGCACTACTTGTATGGTGAGACGTGTCAGATTTTCACTGATCACAAAAGCCTTAAGTATTTCTTTACCCAGAAGGAGCTGAATATGAGGCAACGGCGTTGGCTGGAATTGATCAAGGACTATGATTGCACGATTGAGTATCACCCAGGCCGAGCTAATGTGGTTGCAGATGCATTGAGTAGAAAGACCACTGCGAACTTAGCTCACATCAGGACGGCCTATCTTCCGTTGTTAGTGGAACTACGGAAGGATGGAGTAGAAATGGAGATGACTCAACAGGGTGGAATCCTTGCTAGCTTGCATGTGAGACCCATTATGGTGGAGCGGGTAATTGCAGCCAGTTGGGAGATCCTACACTCTGTAGGATAAGGGGAGAAGTAGAAAATGGAACACGGAAAGATTATGCCATAAGGGGAGACGGAGCCTTGGTAAAAGGAGCTCGTCTATGTGTACCTAGTAAGAATGCTGAATTGAAAAGAGAAATCATGGAGGAAGCTCACTGTTCCACTTACACTATGCATCCGGGTAGTACGAAGATGTATCGGACGCTACGGGCATATTATTCATGGCCGCATATGAAGGGAGACATTGCCAAATATGTGAGTAGATGTTTGATTTGTCAACAAGTGAAGGCGGAGCGACAGAAGCCATCGGGACTCATGCAACCACTTCCGATTCCTGAATGGAAGTGGGAGCGTATTGCCATGGATTTTGTTTTCAAGCTTCCACGTACTTCAAAGGGTCATGATGGAATTTGGGTGATAGTGGATAGACTCACCAAGTCTGCCCATTTTCTACCCATTAAGGAGACCTATCCTTTGACAAGGTTGGCAAAACTTTTTGTGGATGAGATTGTGAGATTGCATGGAGCACCTGTGTCCATCGTATCGGACAGGGATCCTAGGTTCACTTCTCGATTCTGGAGGTGTTTACAAGAAGCTATGGGTACTAGATTGCAGTTCAGTACCGCTTTTCACCCACAAACCGATGGACAATCGGAAAGGACTATCCAGACTCTGGAGGACATGTTGAGGTCCTGTGTGTTACAGTTTAAGGATGCATGGGATGTTCACCTTGCCTTGGTGGAGTTTGCTTATAATAACAGTTATCATTCAAGTATTGGGATGGCTCCTTATGAGGCGTTGTATGGGAGGCAGTGCAGGACTCCCATTTGTTGGAATGAAGTGGGTGACAAGAAACTGGAAAAGTGGATAGTATCCGAGCAACAAATGAGAAGGTGAAGATGATAAAGGAGAAGTTGAAAACTGCACAAGACCGACAGAAGAGTTATGCAGATAACAGGTCTAAGGATCTTGAGTTTGCAGTTGGGGATTGGGTGTTCCTGAAATTATCTCCTTGGAAGGGTGTGATGAGATTTGGAAAACGTGGGAAGTTAAGCCCCTCGTTACATTGGACCTTATGAGATTACGGAGCGAATTGGACCTGTTGCATATAGACTTGCATTACCCCCAGAACTATCTCGAGTACATGATGTGTTTCATGTATCCATGCTCCGGAAATACATGCCAGACCCTTCTCATGTATTAGAATATCAACCTGTGGAGTTAGAAGAAGATTTATCGTATGAAGAGCAACCCAGTACAGATCTGGATAGGAAAGAACAAAGGTTGCGTTCTAGATCTATCCCGGTAGTGAAAGTTCTGTGGAGAAGTCAAACTGTTGAAGAAGCTACTTGGGAACCCGAGGAGCAAATGCGGGCCAAGTACCCTTATCTCTTCCATTGAAAGGTACGTGAATTTCGGGGACGAAATTTTTATAAGGGGGGTAGATTGTAACACCCCGACTCCAAATTTATTCCTATTTTAATTAAATTAAGAGAATTATTAATTTACTCTTGGGTTAAGGGTAATTTTGGTCATTTTCTTATCCAGAAGGATTTCGGGACCACGAGTGGTTTGGTTGTGTAGGTGGTACTGAGACGAAACCGTAGACAGGCGGTAGCCTTGAATCGGAGTTGTAATGAAGTTTTGGCGATCAAAATAGTTCGGTGGCGGAACCGTAATTAATTTGAAAAGAGTTTGGGGTAAAATCAGATTTTTCACATTTACCCCTCACTTTCTCTCTCTCTCTCCCCGCGTCTCCTCCCTCTGCGTCAAACCCATTCCCGTCACTGTGCAAGCCGAACGGAAACCACCGTGCCGCCGCCGCCACAGTCCACCTCAGCCCTCGAGATCAGTCCCGTTCGACTCGTCTCGAAGCCCCGATCACAACCCACCCCATTTCCCCGCCGGAAACCTCGAATCCCGACGTCAGTTTCGACTGGTTCAAACCGGAAGTTTCCGATCGTTGCGCCGCCGCCTCCGCCGTCTGTTTCAAGTAAAGTTGGTGAGTTTTCTTCTTCTTTTTACGTGCTCTAGCTGTTTTTGGGGTTAGATTATAACGATTTTGAGTTTTGGAACCGAATTGGAAACCTAGGTTTTGGCCGGTTTTCAATTTGAAATTCCGGCCAGTTCCCGTGCGAATTGGACCTCGTGGTAGTTGAATAAAGTGATCCTGACCTTGAGAAGAAGCTAGGGTAGGAAGGGTGAGCGTTGGTGTGGAGATTTTCCGTCGCCGGAAATTCCTCTACACACCCACGCGCTGCCGGCGCGTGTGGCGGCGCGTGGGCAAGGTTGGTGAAGTTGCTTTTCATCCTGATGAGATCAGTAGGTTGTCACGAGTGTGTAGGATTTTACGGATCTCAATTTGGATGTCGTTTGACTATCGAACGGATTTCGCATATTGTGCGTTATTAGGGTTCGATAAGTTCTAACCGTTGGATCGTTTCCAAACTGAAGTATGTTGATTTAGGTACTCTTAGAAACCTATAGGAATTCGCGGATCGTGAATCGGAGCCCCGGATGTTCCGATTCAATAATTCGAAGTTTATGGGAATTAGCGATAACCGTAGGATGGGAAGCGATTCCCAAACCTGTAAGGATATCCTATTGGACGTACACGCACCGGGATCTTGGGGATTTAAGTATTCTCTTTTGTGAATTCCCGTTTCGAAGTGTATTATATTAATCAAGAGTTCGTATCTCGAAATAGGTACTTCGGTCGATCGTTCGCAGCAGGCAGGACCCTCTCGGGGCCGGGCAGCGTGGGATTACCTGTGAGTGGACTTTGTTTTCAAGCATTTGCATGGTTTTATTGATAAAAGATTTGTGCATATGTTTTAAATGGAAATGTGATTTATTAAGTATTTGGTTGAGATGTCTCAATAAGTATGGCAAAGCTTTGTTAAAAAAAAAAAAAAAAAAAAAAAAAAAAAAAAAAAAAAAAAAAAAAAAAAAAAAAAAAAAAAAAAAAAAAAAAAAAAAAAAAAAAAAAAAAAAAAAAAAAAAAAAAAAAAAAAAAAAAAAAAAAAAAAAAAAAAAAAAAAAAAAAAAAAAAAAAAAAAAAAAAAAAAAAAAAAAAAAAAAAAAAAAAAAAAAAAAAAAAAAAAAAAAAAAAAAAAAAAAAAAAAAAAAAAAAAAAAAAAAAAAAAAAAAAAAAAAAAAAAAAAAAAAAAAAAAAAAAAAAAAAAAAAAAAAAAAAAAAAAAAAAAAAAAAAAAAAAAAAAAAAAAAAAAAAAAAAAAAAAAAAAAAAAAAAAAAAAAAAAAAAAAAAAAAAAAAAAAAAAAAAAAAAAAAAAATCCAAAAATGGCATGTTTCCATTTCTTTTGCCTTCAACTTGATCCTAAAGTAGATGCACTGCATACTAACCCACAATAGAGTAAAACGCAACATGTTTAACTCAGAAACATCACAAAGAAGATAAATGGATGGTATAAAGTATAAAATATTTGTGTTATCACTCCCTCCCACTCCACCATATTATGAGTTCCCCAAGTTCTATTCCTCGATCCAATATCGATTGGTCCTTGAAATCCGACAATTCAGGTTCGTACCAAGTTACTTCTGAAATGGAGTGGTTGGTTGTATTGCATAGTTTTAGGCAATGGATTTCCCTCAAAACTCACCAAATGAATCCTCCCACCATATTATGATGTTCCTCAAGTTTTAGACTCAATGACACATCGATTGGTCCTGAAATCGGACAATTCAGGTTCATACGAAGTTTTTCGAAATGGAGTGGTTGGGTATGTCTAGTTTTAGCCATTGGATTTCACTCAAACTCACCAAATGACTCCTCCCATCATTAATGATGTTCCCCAAGTTTTGGACTTAATCCGATATCGATTGTCCTTGAAATTGGACAATTTTAGGTTCGTACCAAGTTCCTTCTGAAATGGAGTGGTTGGTGTATTGCATAGTTTTAGCCATTGGATTTCACCCTCAAACCACCAAATGATTCTCCCACCATATTATGTGTTCCCCAAGTTTTGGACTCAATCCTATATCGATTGGTCCTGAAATTGGACAATTCAGGTTCGTACGAAGTTCGTTCTGAAATGGAGTGGTTGGTGTATTGCATAGTTTTAGCCATTGGATTTCACTCAAAACACACCAAATGACTCCTCCCACCACATTATGATGTTCCCCAAGTTTTGGACTCAATCCGATATCGATTGGTCCATGAAATCGGACATTCAGGTTCGTACGAAGTTTCGTTTGAAATGGGTGGTTGGTGTATTGCATAGTTTTCAGCCATTGGATTTCACTCAAAAACCACCAATGACTCCTCCCACCATTATGATGTTCCCCAAGTTTTGGACTCAATCCGATATCGATTGGTCCATGAAATCGGACAATTCAGGTTCGTACGAAGTTCGTTCTGAAATGGAGTGGTTGGTGTATTGCATAGTTTTAGCCATTGGATTTCACTCAAAACCACCAAATGACTCCTCCCACCATATTATGTTGTTCCCCAAGTTTTGGACTCAATCCGATATCGATTGGTCCATGAAATCGGACATTCAGGTTCGTACGAAGTTCGTTCTGAAATGGAGTGGTTGGTGTATTGCATAGTTTTAGCCATTGGATTTCACTCAAAACCAACCAAATGACTCCTCCCACCATATGATGTTCCCCAAGTTTTGGACTCAATCCGATATCGATTGGTCCATGAAATCGGACTATTCAGGTTCGTGGGGAGTTCGTTCTGAAATGGGGTGGTTGGGTATTGTCATGTTTTAGCCATTGGGATTTCACTCAAAACAAAAAAAAGGACTCCTCCCAAAGGATTATGTGGTTCCCAACGTTTTTTTGGACTCAATCCGATATCGATTGGTCCATGAAATCGGACAATTCAGGTTCGTACGAAGTTCGTTCTGAAATGGAGTGGTTGGTGTATTGCATAGTTTTAGCCATTGGATTTCACTCAAAACCACCAAATGACTCCTCCCACCATATTATGTTGTTCCCAAGTTTTGGACTCAATCCGATATCGATTGGTCCATGAAATCGGACAATTCAGGTTCGTACGAAGTTCGTCTGAAATGGAGTGGTTGGTGTATTGCATAGTTTTAGCCATTGGATTTCACTCAAAACCACCAAATGACTCCTCCCACCATATTATGTTGTTCCCCAAGTTTTGGGACTCAATCCGATATCGATTGGTCCATGAAATCGGACAATTCAGGTTCGTACGAAGTTCGTTCTGAAATGGAGTGGTTGGTGTATTGCATAGTTTTAGCCATTGGATTTCACTCAAAACTCACCAAATGACTCCTCCCACCATATTATGATGTTCCCCAAGTTTTGGACTCAATCCGATATCGATTGGTCCATGAAATCGGACAATTCAGGTTCGTACGAAGTTCGTTCTGAAATGGAGTGGTGGTGTATTGCATAGTTTTAGCCATTGGATTTCACTCAAAACCACCAAATGACTCCTCCCACCATATTATGATGTTCCCCAAGTTTTGGACTCAATCCGATATCGATTGGTCCATGAAATCGGACAATTCAGGTTCGTACGAAGTTCGTTCTGAAATGGAGTGGTTGGTGTATTGCATAGTTTAGCCATTGGATTTCACTCAAAACCACCAAATGACTCCTCCCACCATATTATGATGTTCCCCAAGTTTTGGACTCAATCCGATATCGATTGGTCCATGAAATCGGACAATTCAGGTTCGTACGAAGTTCGTTCTGAAATGGAGTGGTTGGTGTATTGCATAGTTTTAGCCATTGGATTTCACTCAAAACCACCAAATGACTCCTCCCACCATATTATGATGTTCCCCAAGTTTTGGACTCAATCCGATATCGATTGGTCCATGAAATCGGACAATTCAGGTTCGTACGAAGTTCGTTCTGAAATGGAGTGGTTGGTGTATTGCATAGTTTTAGCCATTGGATTTCACTCAAAACCACCAAATGACTCCTCCCACCATATATGATGTTCCCCAAGTTTTGGACTCAATCCGATATCGATTGGTCCATGAAATCGGACAATTCAGGTTCGTACGAAGTTCGTTCTGAAATGGAGTGGTTGGTGTATTGCATAGTTTTAGCCATTGGATTTCACTCAAAACCACCAAATGACTCCTCCCACCATATTATGATGTTCCCCAAGTTTTGGACTCAATCCGATATCGATTGGTCCATGAAATCGGACAATTCAGGTTCGTACGAAGTTCGTTCTGAAATGGAGTGGTTGGTGTATTGCATAGTTTTAGCCATTGGATTTCACTCAAAACCACCAAATGACTCCTCCCACCATATTATGATGTTCCCCAAGTTTTGGACTCAATCCGATATCGATTGGTCCATGAAATCGGACAATTCAGGTTCGTACGAAGTTCGTTCTGAAATGGAGTGGTTGGTGTATTGCATAGTTTTAGCCATTGGATTTCACTCAAAACCACCAAATGACTCCTCCCACCATATTATGATGTTCCCCAAGTTTTGGACTCAATCCGATATCGATTGGTCCATGAAATCGGACAATTCAGGTTCGTACGAAGTTCGTTCTGAAATGGAGTGGTTGGTGTATTGCATAGTTTTAGCCATTGGATTTCACTCAAAACCACCAAATGACTCCTCCCACCATATTATGATGTTCCCCAAGTTTTGGACTCAATCCGATATCGATTGGTCCATGAAATCGGACAATTCAGGTTCGTACGAAGTTCGTTCTGAAATGGAGTGGTTGGTGTATTGCATAGTTTTAGCCATTGGATTTCACTCAAAACCACCAAATGACTCCTCCCACCATATTATGATGTTCCCCAAGTTTTGGACTCATCCGATATCGATTGGTCCATGAAATTGGACAATTCAGGTTCGACGAAGTTCGCTCTGAAATGGAGTGGTTGGTGATTGCATAGTTTTAACCATTGGATTTCACTCAAAACACACCAAATGACTCCTCCCACCATATTATGATGTTCCCCAAGTTTTGGACTCAATCCGATATCGATTGGTCCCTGAAATTGGACAATTCAGGTTCGTACGAAGTTCGTTCTGAAATGGAGTGGTTGGTGTATTGCATAGTTTTAGCCATTGGATTTCACTCAAAACACACCAAATGACTCCTCCCACCATATTATGATGTTCCCCAAGTTTTGGACTCAATCCGATATCGATTGGTCCCTGAAATTGGACAATTCAGGTTCGTACGAAGTTCGTTCTGAAATGGAGTGGTTGGTGTATTGCATAGTTTTATCCATTGGATTTCACTCAAAACACACCAAATGACTCCTCCCACCATTATGATGTTCCCCAAGTTTTGGACTCAATCCGATATCGATTGGTCCGTGAAATTGGACAATTCAGGTTCGTACGAAGTTCGTTCTGAAATGGAGTGGTTGGTGTATTGCATAGTTTTATCCATTGGATTTCACTCAAAACACACCAAATGACTCCTCCCACCATATTATGATGTTCCCCAAGTTTTGGACTCAATCCGATATCGATTGGTCCATGAAATGGACAATTCAGGTTCGTACGAAGTTCGTTCTGAAATGGAGTGGTTGGTGTATTGCATAGTTTTAGCCATTGGATTTCACTCAAAACACACCAAATGACTCCTCCCACCATATTATGATGTTCCCCAAGTTTTGGACTCAATCCGATATCGATTGGTCCCTGAAATTGGACAATTCAGGTTCGTACGAAGTTCGTTCTGAAATGGAGTGGTTGGTGTATTGCATAGTTTTAGCCATTGGATTTCACTCAAAACTCACCAAATGACTCCTCCCACAACATTATGATGTTCCCCAAGTTTTGGACTCAATCCGATATCGATTGGTCCTTGAAATTGGACAATTCAGGTTCGTACGAAGTTCGTTCTGAAATGGAGTGGTTGGTGTATTGCATAGTTTTAGCCATTGGATTTCACTCAAAACTCACCAAATGACTCCTCCCACCATATTATGATGTTCCCCAAGTTTTGGACTCAATCCGATATCGATTGGTCCGTGAAATTGGACAATTCAGGTTCGTACGAAGTTCGTTCTGAAATGGAGTGGTTGGTGTATTGCATAGTTTTAGCCATTGGATTTCACTCAAAACACCCACCAAATGACTCCTCCACACATATTATGATGTTCCCCAAGTTTTGGACTCAATCCGATATCGATTGGTCCATGAAATTGGACAATTCAGGTTCGTACGAAGTTCGTTCTGAAATGGAGTGGTTGGTGTATTGCATAGTTTTAGCCATTGGATTTCACTCAAAACTCACCAAATGACTCCTCCCACAATATTATGATGTTCCCCAAGTTTTGGACTCAATCCGATATCGATTGGTCCATGAAATTGGACAATTCAGGTTCGTACGAAGTTCGTTCTGAAATGGAGTGGTTGGTGTATTGCATAGTTTTAGCCATTGGATTTCACTCAAAACCCCAAATGACCTCCTCCCACCATATATGTGTTCCCCAAGTTTTTGGACTAATCCGATAATGGATTGGTCCATGAAATCGACAATTCAGGGTCGTACGAGTTCGTTTTGAATGGCGTGGTTGGTGTCATGCAGAGTGTTTTATAAATTGGATTTCACTCAAAACTCACCAAATGACTCCTCCCACAACATTATATATGTTCCCCAAGTTTTTTTTTGACTCAACCGATATCTATTGGTCCATGAAATTGGACAATTCAGGTTCGTACGAAGTTCGTTCTGAAATGGAGTGGGTGGTGTATTGCATATTTTAGCCATTGGATTTCACTCAAAACCCACCAAATGATCCTCCCACCATATTATGATGTTCCCCAAGTTTTGGACTCAATCCGATATCGATTGTCCATGAAATCGGACAATTCAGGTTCGTACGAAGTTCGTTCTGAAATGGAGTGGTTGGTGTGTTGCATAGTTTTAGACATTGGATTTCACTCAAAACCACCAAATGACTCCTCCCACCATATTATGATGTTCCCCAAGTTTTGGACTCAATCCGATATCGATTGGTCCATGAAATTGGACAATTCAGGTTCGTACGAAGTTCGTTCTGAAATGGAGTGGTTGGTGTATTGCATAGTTTTAGCCATTGGATTTCACTCAAAACCACCAAATGACTCCTCCCACCATATTATGATGTTCCCCAAGTTTTGGACTCAATCCGATATCGATTGGTCCATGAAATCAGACAATTCAGGTTCGTACGAAGTTCGTTCTGAAATGGAGTGGTTGGTGTATTGCATAGTTTTAGCCATTGGATTTCACTCAAAACCCACCAAATGACTCCTCCCACCATATTATGATGTTCCCCAAGTTTTGGACTCAATCCGATATCGAGTGGTCCATGAAATTGGACAATTCAGGTTCGTACGAAGTTCGTTCGAAATGGAGTGGTTGGTGTATTGCATAGTTTTAGCATTGGATTTCACTCAAAACCACCAAATGACTCCTCCCACCATATTATGATGTTCCCCAAGTTTTGGACTCAATCCGATATCGATTGGTCCATGAAATTGGACAATTCAGGTTCGTACGAAGTTCGTTCTGAAATGGAGTGGTTGGTGTATTGCATAGTTTTAGCCATTGGATTTCACTCAAAACCCACCAAATGACTCCTCCCACCATATTATGGTGTTCCCCAAGTTTTGGACTCAATCCGATATCGATTGGTCCATGAAATTGGACATTCAGGTTCGTACGAAGTTCTGAAATGGAGTGGTTGGTGTATTGCATAGTTTTAGCCATTGGATTTCACTCAAAACTCACCAAATGACTCCTCCCACCACATTATGATGTTCCCCAAGTTTTGGACTCAATCCGATATCGATTGGTCCATGAAATTGGACAATTCAGGTTCGTACGAAGTTCGTTCTGAAATGGAGTGGTTGGTGTATTGCATAGTTTTAGCCATTGGATTTCACTCAAAACCACCAAATGACTCCTCCCACCATATTATGATGTTCCCCAAGTTTTGGACTCAATCCGATATCGATTGGTCCTTGAAATTGGACAATTCAGGTTCGTATGAAGTTCGTTCTGAAATGGAGTGGTTGGTGTATTGCATAGTTTTAGCCATTGGATTTCACTCAAAACTCACCAAATGACTCCTCCCACCATATTATGTTGTTCCCCAAGTTTTGGACTCAATCCGATATCGATTGGTCCATGAAATGGACAATTCAGGTTCGTACGAAGTTCGTTCTGAAATGGAGTGGTTGGTGTATTGCATAGTTTTAGCCATTGGGATTTCACTCAAAACCAACCAAATGACTCCTCCCACCATATTATGATGTTCCCCAAGTTTTGGACTCAATCCGATATCGATTGGTCCATGAAATTGACAATTCAGGTTCGTACGAAGTTCGTTCTGAAATGGAGTGGTTGGTGTATTGCATAGTTTTAGCCATTGGATTTCACTCAAAACACACCAAATGACTCCTCCCACCATATTATGTTGTTCCCCAAGTTTTGGACTCAATCCGATATCGATTGGTCCATGAAATCTGGACAATTCAGGTTCGTACGAAGTTCGTTCTAAAATGGAGTGGTTGGTGTATTGCATAGTTTTATCCATTGGATTTCACTCAAAACACACCAAATGACTCCTCCCACCATATTATGATGTTCCCCAAGTTTTGGACTCAATCCGATATCGATTGGTCCTTGAAATTGGACGATTCAGGTTCGTACGAAGTTCGTTCTGAAATGGAGTGGTTGGTGTATTGCATAGTTTTATCCATTGGATTTCACTCAAAACACACCAAATGACTCCTCCCACCATATTATGACGTTCCCCAAGTTTTGGACTCAATCCGATATCGATTGGTCCTTGAAATTGGACAATTCAGGTTCGTACGAAGTTCGTTCTGAAATGGAGTGGTTGGTGTATTGCATAGTTTTATCCATTGGATTTCACTCAAACCACACCAAATGACTCCTCCCACCATATTATGATGTTCCCCAAGTTTTGGACTCAATCCGATATCGATTGGTCCGTGAAATTGGACAATTCAGGTTCGTACGAAGTTCCTTCTGAAATGGAGTGGTTGGTGTATTGCATAGTTTTAGCCATTGGATTTCACTCAAAACACACCAAATGACTCCTCCCACCATATTATGTTGTTCCCCAAGTTTTGGACTCAATCCGATATCGATTGGTCCATGAAATCGGACATTCAGGTTCGTACGAAGTTCGTTTCTGAAATGGAGTGGTTGGTGTATTGCATAGTTTTAGCCCATTGGATTTCACTCAAACCACCAAATGACTCCTCCCACCATATTATGTTGTTCCCCAAGTTTTGGACTCAATCCGATATCGATTGGTCCTTGAAATCGGACAATTCAGGTTCGTAGAATTCGTTCGAAATGGAGTGGTTGGTGTATTGCATAGTTTTAGCCATTGGATTTCACTCAAAACCACCAAATGACTCCTCCCACCATATTATGTTGTTCCCCAAGTTTTGGACTCAATCCGATATCGATTGGTCCTGAAATCGGACTATTCAGGTTCGAGAAGTTCGTTCTGAAATGGAGTGGTTGGTGTATTGCATAGTTTTAGCCATTGGATTTCACTCAAACCAACCAAATGACTCCTCCCACCATATTGTGTTGTTCCCCAAGTTTTGGACTCAATCCGATATCGATTGGTCCATGAAATCGGACTATTCAGGTTCGTAGCAAGTTCGTTCTGAAATGGAGTGGTTGGTGTATTGCATAGTTTTAGCCATTGGATTTCACTCAAAACGACCAAATGACTCCTCCCACCATATTATGTTGTTCCCCAAGTTTTGGACTCAATCCGATATCGATTGGTCCTTGAAATCGGACAAATTCAGGTTCGTACGAAGTTCGTTCTAAAATGGAGTGGTTGGTGTATTGCATAGTTTTTAGCCATTGGATTTCACTCAAACCACCAAATGACTCCTCCCACCATATTATGTTGTTCCCCAAGTTTTGGACTCAATCCGATATCGATTGGTCCTTGAAATCGGACAATTCAGGTTCGTACAAAGTTCCTTCTGAAATGGAGTGGTTGGTGTGTTGCATTGTTTTAGCCATTGGATTTCACTCAAACCTCACCAAATGACTCCTCCCACCATATTATGATGTTCCCCAAGTTTTGGACTCAATCCGATATCGATTGGTCCTTGAAATCGGACAATTCAGGTTCAAACCAAGTTCCTTCTGAAATGGAGTGGTTGGTGTATTGCATAGTTTTGGCCATTGGATTTCACTCAAACCTCACCGAATGACTCCTCCCACCATATTGTGATGTTCCCCAAGTTTTGGACTCAATCCGATATCGATTGGTCCATCAAATCGGACAATTCAGGTTCGTAGCAGTTCCTTCCGAAATGGAGTGGTTGGTGTATTGCATAGTTTTAGCCATTGGATTTCACTCAAAACACCAAATGACTCCTCCCACCATATTATGTTGTTCCCCAAGTTTTGGACTCAATCCGATATCGATTGGTCCTTGAAATCGGACAAATTCAGGTTCAAACCAAGTTCGTTCTGAAATGGAGTGGTTGGTGTATTGCATAGTTTTAGCCATTGGATTTCACTCAAAACCACCAAATGACTCCTCCCACCATATTATGATGTTCACCCAAGTTTTGGACTCAATCCGATATCGATTGGTCCTTGAAATCGGACAATTCAGGTTCGTACAAAGTTCCTTCTGAAATGGAGTGGTTGGTGTGTTGCATAGTTTTAGCCATTGGATTTCACTCAAACCACACCAAATGACTCCTCCCACCATATTATGATGTTCCCCAAGTTTTGGACTCAATCCGATATCGATTGGTCTTGAAATCGGACAAATTCAGGTTCAAACCAAGTTCCTTCTGAAATGGAGTGGTTGGTGTATTGCATAGTTTTGGCCATTGGATTTCACTCAAACCTCACCGAATGACTCCTCCCACCATATTGTGATGTTCCCCAAGTTTTGGACTCCATCCGATATCGATTGGTCCATCAAATCGGACAATTCAGGTTCGTAGCATGTTCCTTCCGAAATGGAGTGGTTGGTGTGTTGCATAGTTTTAGCAATTGGATTTCACTCAAAACACCCCAAATGACTCCTCCCACCATATTATGTTGTTCCCCAAGTTTTGGACTCAATCCGATATCGATAGGTCCATGAAATCGGGCAATTCCGGTTCGTACGAAGTTCCTTCTAAAATCGAGTGGTTGGCGTATTGCATAATTTTAGCCATTGGATTTCACTCAGAACTCACCAAATGACTTCTCCCACCATATTATGATGTTCACCACTCCATCCGATATCGATTGGTCCCTGAAATCGGACAATACAAACTTCCTTCTGAAATGGAGTGGTTTTAGCCATTGGGTTGGAGTGTTGCATAGTTTTAGCCATTGGATATCACTCAAAACTCACCAAATGACTCCTCCGACCATATTATGATGTTCCCCAAGTTTTGGACTAAATCCAATATCGATTGGTCCATCAAATCGGACAATTCAGGTTCGTACGAAGTTTCGTCTGAAATGGAGTGGTTGGTGTGTTGCATAGTTTTTAGCCATTGGATTTCACTCAAAACCACCAAATGACTCCTCCCACCATATTATGATGTTCCCCAAGTTTTGGACTCAATCCGATATCGATTGGTCCATGAAACTAGACAATTCAGGTTCGTACAAAGTTCGTTCTGAAATGGAGTGGTTGGTGTATTGCAAAGTTTTAGGCATTGTATTTCACTCAAAACCACCAAATGACACCTCCAACAATATTATGTTGTTCCCCAAGTTTTGGACTCAATCCGATATCGATTGGGCCATGAAATTGGACTAATTCAGGTTCGTCGAAGTTGCTTCTGAAATGGGAGTGGTTGGTGTATTGCATAGTTTTAGCCATTGGATTTCACTCAAAACCACCAAATGACTCCTCCCACCATATTATGATGTTCCCCAAGTTTTGGACTCAATCCAATATCGATTGGTCCATGAAATGGGACAATTTAGGTTCGTTCGAAGTTGCTTCTGAAATGGTGTGGTTGGTGTATTGCATAGTTTAAGCCATTTGCATTTCACTCAAAACCACCAAATGACTCCTCCCACCACATTATCATGTTCCCCTAGTTTTGGACTCAATCCGTTATCGATTGGTCCATGAAGTCGGACAATTCAGGTTTGAACCAAGTTCGTTATGAAATGGAGTCGCTGGTGTATTGCATAGTTCTAGCTAATGGATTTCGCTCAAAACTCACTAAATGACTCCTCCCACCATATTATGTTGTTCCCCAAGTTTTGGACTCAATCCGATATCGATTGATCCTTGAAATAGGACAATTCAGGTTCGTACGAAGTTCTTTCAGAAATGGAGTGGTTGGTTTATTGTCTAGTTCTAGCCATTGGATTTCACTCAAAACCCACCAAATGACTCCTCCCACCATATTATGTTGTTCCCCAAGTTTTGGACTCAATCCGATATTGATTGGTCCGTGAAATCGGAAAATTTAGGTTCGTACCAAGTTCCTTCTTAAATGGAGTGGTTGGTGTATTGCATAGTTTTAGCCGTTGGGTTTCACACAAAACCCACCAAATGACTCCTCCCACCATATTATGATGTTTCCCCAAGTTTTGGACTCAATCCGATATCGATTGGTCCATGAAATTGACAATTCAGGTTCGTACGAAGTTCGCTTCTAAAATGGAGTGGTTGGTGTATTGCATAGTTTTAGCCATTGGATTTCACTCAAAACACAAATGACTCCTCCCACCATATTATGTTGTTCCCCAAGTTTTGGACTCAATCCGGTATCGATTGGTCCTGAAATCGGACAATTCAGGTTCGTACGAGGTACTTCTGAAATGGAGTGGTTGGTGTATTGCATAGTTTTAGCCATTGGATTTCACTCAAACCACACCAAATGACTCCTCCCACCATATTTTGATGTTCCCCAAGTTTTGGACGCAATCCGATATCGATTGGTCCTTCAAATCGGAAAATTCCGGTTCGAACCAAGTTCCTTCTGAAATGGAGTGGTTGGTGTGTTGGATAGTTTTAGCCATTGGATTTCACTCAAAACCAACAAATGACTCCTCCCACCATATTATGTTGTTCCCCAAGTCTTGGACTTAATCCGGTATCGATTGGTCCTTGAAATCGAACAATTCAGGTTCGTACCAAGTTCCTTCTGAAATGGAGTGGTTGGTGTATTGCATAGTTTTAGCCATTGGATTTCACTCAAAACTCTCCAAATGACTCCTCCCACCGTATTATGTTGTTCCCCATGTTTTGGACTCAATACTATATCGATTGGTCCTTGAAATCGGACAATTCAGGTTCGTACGAAGTTCCTTCAGAAATGGAGTGGTTGGTGTTTGTATAAATAATCTCGCGGGAGAATATTTGCTTCTAGATCCTTCAACCTTTGATCTTCCTTCTCTCTCTTCCTTGATTCCTGTAAAAAAGACTGGATTAAATAGACTACACCCGGGGGTGTTGGCCAAAGGCCCTCCGATGCCTAAGTTAGTTTGAGTGTTTGTAGGAACACAATAGCTAAGCAAAGGTTACGGAGTTGTATGTATGGTGTGAACCGGGGGGCCGGAGCCGTGTGTGGTGGCCGGAGCCGTGTGGAGAAAATATGGAGAATGGAGAGGGACAGAGAGCTTCGGGTATTTTTCTCTGGTTTAGGAGTAGGTTTAGATGTATCTTGAATGATGAATGAAGTAGCCTATTTATAGGAGCCTCGGGGCTAGGGTTTCGTTGAGAATATGCTGAGTTTATTCCCTACCCAAATTCGTAGGGATCGAGTCGGACTTAGATAATATCTTATTTAATGATGTTATCTTCTCTTTATTGAAGATAATATCTAAATTAAACGATATTATCTCTTTTTATGAAGATAATATCTGAATTAATGCTTTTATCTTCTCTTTATTAGGATAATATCTAAATTAATGGTATTATCTCATTAAATAAAGATAATATCCCATTAATTAAGATATTTATCCCAATTAATTAATTGACGAGATAAACTAGTTCAATTAATTAATTTAAGAGATAATCTTCTTTTCCACATGGCATGCCCTGATTGGAGACGGAAATATTTGCTCCCACAAATGCCCCCCAGCTTCTACATGGCGCTTGTGTTAGGAGATGAAATTATTTTTTAGGGCTCTCCAACTGTGTTTGGGCTTTTTTGTAGATCGGATTACTAATTGGCGTAGGCTTCTGACTGTTCTTAGAGTTGGATTCCCAGTAGGAATGAGCTTGCGATTCCTTCTTGACCTGAGTTTTCCAACTTGTACAAATACAGGGCTTCTCTTCACTCTTTCTTACATTGCAAACTTAACTTCTCTAATTTCTAGCTTGAGAAAGATCTTGGAGAATTTGTACTGCTTGTCGAAGAGAGAAGTTGCCGTGCATCCCAAGGTAAGTCGAGCACGTATATTTTTCTTCGTCTTCTCTTTTTCGAGGCAAGGACCAGCTGGGTGACATCGTGACTGGCAGTTGAAGAAGGTTATAGCGACGGTGGCCGCTAGTTGCTGCTGAGTGAGTATCGAGAGAAAGACGATGGTGTGCCCCCTGCCGAGAATGTCGAGGGATGAAAGTAGAATGGTCCGGATCCTGATGATCTGCCTGCTGGATAGGAGGAGTGTTCTGCTTGTTGGGTTGTGGCACGTTTAGCCTACGTTCAGAGATGTGTAGATGAGAGTGGCCCGTTTGACCTACGTCCGGGGACGTGCCAATGACAGTGGCCCGTTTGGCCTACGTTCGGAGCCGTGTCGATGTGTGTGTGTGGCCCGTTTGGCCTACATCCGGAGACGTGTCAATGATAGTGGCCCGTTTGGCCTACGTCCGGAGACGTGTCGATGAGAGTGGCCTGTGTGCCCTACGTCTGGAGACGTGTCGATGTGTGTGGCCTATTCGGCCTACATCCGGAGACGTGTCGATGATGGTGGCCTGTTTGGCCTACGTTCGGAGACGTGTCGATGTGTGTGGCCCGTTTGGCCTACTTCTGGAGACGTGTCGATGATAGTGACCCATTTGGCCTACGTCCAGAGACGTGTCGATTAGAGTGTCCCATTTAGCCTACGTCCAGAGATGTGTCGATGATGTGTGGCCCGTTTGGCCTACGTCTAGAGACGTGTCGATGATAGTGGCAGATTTGGCCTACGTCCAGAGACGTGTCGATTAGAGTGGCCCGTTTGGCCTACGTCCGAAGACGTGGATGATGTGTGGCCCGTTTGGCCTACGTTCGGAGACGTGTCGATGATAGTGTCCCGTTTGGCCTACGTCCAGAGATGTGTCTATTAGAGTGGCCCGTTTGGCCTACGTTCGGAGACATGTCGATGTGTGTGGCCCGTTTGGCCTACGTCCGGAGACGTGTCGATAATAGTGGCCCGTTTGAACTTGTATTGATGTCTGTGTTACTACATTGCTTTATTGAACAAAAAAGATGAGTTGCATGAGTAACATCAAAAGTAACTTGTCTTCAGTGGAGGTGATGGAGGCTTGGCTACCTACTTAGAGCCGAGCTGATAGGTGAGGGGCTTCATGGATAGTACCTCTGGAGGTGAGGGGCATTCAATTGCACTGGAACTTCCTTCCATTGAAAGATGATGAAAGGTTCGTCTTCCATAACTTGGTAGCTAGTGATGGCTTGGGAGACGAAATTCGCATGCTTGATCTTTCTCTTCTGCCCCTGGTGGTCAGCCCAGGCTCTTGGAGTTAGCTAGGATCGTGATCCGTATGACTTTTTCGTGGAGGCTCATTGTTAGCAGCGTCACAATCCTTGATTTGCTGGATAGCCCTCCTTGTGATGAATTCCGTGCAATGGCCGTCTTTGACTAGATCTTCGAGGTTTCTTTTCCAGGCAAAGCAGTCGTTTGTGTAATGACTGTGCCCTTCATGGAATGTGCAATATCTACTAGTATACTTCTTGGTTGGGTTTCCCTTTAAAGGTGATGGTTTCTTCAACCAAGGCATGTCCTTTACTTGGGCCAAGATCTGGTGTATCGGGATAGTGAACTTAGTGTACCTCTCCGCTGCTGGAGCACATTCCTGAGGTTGTGATCTGCGCTTGCCATTCTCTTTGCTTGTCTGCTTTGATCAGCCTCCTTCGTGGAAATTCGGTCATCGTCCCATAGTGCGTAGCGCTCTGCTGTAGCAAAGACTTCTACTAGTGTTTGGTGACGAGAGATGGTAAGCTCGCAATACAGCTCACATTCGGTTGGCAACCCCCTCTTGAAGGCAGATGACACAATTTGGTCATCACATCCAACAATATTTGCCTTCTCCGCTTTGAACCTCTTGATGTAGTCTCGGAGGGATTCATCGGACATCTTGCGCAGGTTGAACAGATGATCAGGGTTCTTCTTGATCATCCGATAAGAAGTGTATTCTTTAGTGAAGACATAAGCAAGCTCCTTGAAGCTGCTGATCGACCCGGATGGCAGGGTGTGGAACTAGTCTTGAGCTGCTCCTCGCAAGGTCATTGCAAACACCTTGCACATTAGTGCGCCGTCGGCCTTGTGGAGGATCATGACACTTTTGAACTGTTTTAGGTGGCTCACGGGATCCGAATCCCCTTTGAAATGTATAAACGAAGGTGTTGAGAATCGCCTTCGGGGAGCAGCCTGCTCGATTTCAGGGGTGAAATGAGTAGAGATCGCCTGGTCCATCTCCTTATGTAGTGCATCCTCGAGGTTCCCACCGGTCTTCAAGTCTCGAAGTCGATCAATCACAAGCTTCTCAATGTCTTCCGCACACATTGCTGGTCGATCACGTTGGCGACCTTCGCGATTCGAGCAATGCTGATTGACCTCCTCGTTGGTCTGCAAGGGTCAACCCTCTCGTCTACGCTGCCTAGGAGGCGTGTTGGTGGACAGCACTTGCGAGGGATTTTCTGTAGCTTGGCGACAAGAATTGGTTCTTTGAGAGCGGGCAGTGGAGTGCCTTTATTCACGGTCCTCATTGTGAGGGTTACCCAGCTGAGCGCATTTCTTCAAAACTCTCCAAATGACTCCTCCAAATGACTCCTCCCACCATATTATGTTGTTCCCCAAGTCTTGGACTTCATCCGTTAACCATTGGTCCTTGAAATCGGACAATTCAGGTTCGTACCAAGTTCCATCTGAAATGGAGTGGTTGGTGTATTGCATAGTTTTAGCCATTGGATTTCACGCAAACCTCACCAAATGACTACTCCCAACATATTATTTTGTTCCCCAAGTTTTGGATGCAATCCAATATCGATTGGTCCTTGAAATCGGCGAATTCAGGTTCGAACCAAGGTCCTTATGAAATGGAGTGGTTGGTGTATTGCAAAGTTGTAGCCATTGGATTTCACTCAAAACTCACCAAATGACTCCTCCCTCCATATTATGATGTTCCCCAAGTTTTGGACACAATCCGATATCGGTTGGTCCTTGAATTCGAACAATTCAGGTTCGTACCAAGTTTCTTCTGAAATGGGGTGGTTGGTGTATTGCATAGTTTTAGCCATTGGATTTCCCTCAAAACTCACCAAATGAATCCTTCCACCATATTATGATGTTCCCCAAGTTTTACACTATCCGATATCGATTGGTCCTTGAAATCAGACAATTCAGGTTCGTATGAAGTTCTTTCAGAAATGGAGAGGTTGGTGTATTGTATAGTTTTAGCCATTGGATTTCACTCAAAACTCACCAAATGACTCCACCTACCATATTATGATGTTCCCCAAGTTTTGGACTCAATCCGATATCGATTGGTCCATGAAATCGAACAATTCATGTTCTTACCAAGTTACTTCGGAAATGGAACGGTTGGTGTATTGCATAGTTTTAGCCATTGGATTTCACTCAAAACTCACCAAACGACTCCTCATACCATAATATGACCTTCCCCAAGTTTTGGACTCAATCAGATATCGATTGGTCCATGAAATTGGACAATTCAGGTTCGTACGAAGTTCGTTCTAAAATGGAGTGGTTGGTGTGTTGCATAGTTTTAGCCATTGGATTTCACTCAAAACTCACCAAATGACTCCTCATACCATAATATGACGTTCCCCAAGTTTTGGACTCAATCCGATATCGATTGGTCCATGAAATAGGACAATTCAGGTTCGTACGAAGTTCGTTCTAAAATGGAGTGGTTGGTGTGTTGCATAGTTTTAGCCATTGGATTTCACTCAAAACTCACCAAATGACTCCTCACACCATAATATGATGTTCCCCAAGTTTTGGACTAAATCCGATATCGATTGGTCCATGAAATCGGACAATTCAGGTTCGTACGAAGTTCGTTCTAAAATGGAGTGGTTGGTGTATTGCATAGTTTTAGCCATTGGATTTCACTCAAAACTCACCAAATGACTCCTCATACCATAATATGATGTTCCCCATTTTTGGACTCAATCCGATATCGATTGGTCCATGAAATTGGACAATTCAGGTTCGTACGAAGTTCGTTCTAAAATGGAGTGGTTGGTGTATTGCATAGTTTTAGCCATTGGATTTCACTCAAAACTCACCAAATGACTCCTCCCACCATAATATGATGTTCCACAAGTTTTGGACTCAATCCGATATCGATTGGTCCATGAAATCGGAGAATTCAGGTTCGTACGAAGTTCGTTCTAAAATGGAGTGGTTGGTGTTTTGCATAGTTTTAGCCATTGGATTTCACTCAAAACTCACCAAATGACTCCTCATACCATAATATGACGTTCCCCAAGTTTTGGACTCAATCCGATATCGATTGGTCCATGAAATCGGACAATTCAGGTTTGTACGAAGTTCCTTCTAAAATGGAGTGGTTGGTGTATTGCATAGTTTTAGCCATTGGATTTCACTCAAAACTCACCAAATGACTCCTCCCACCATAATATGTTCCCCAAGTTTGGGGACTCAATCCGATATCGATTGGTCCATGAAATCGGACAATTCAGGTTCGTACGAAGTTCGTTTCTAAAATGGAGTGGTTGGTGTATTGAATAGTTTTAGCCATTGGATTTCACTCAAAACACACCAACGACTCCTCATACGTAATATGATGTTTGCCCCAAGTTTTGGACTCAATCCGATATCGATTGGTCCATGAAATCGGACAATTCAGGTTCGTACAAAGTTCGTTCTAAAATGGAGTGGTTGGTGTATTGCATAGTTTTAGCCATTGGATTTCACTCAAAACCACCAAATGACTCCTCATACCACATGTGTTCCCCAAGTTTTGGACTCAATCCGATATCGATTGGTCCATGAAATAGACAATTCAGGTTCGTACAAAGTTCGTTCTAAATGGAGTGGTTGGTGTATTGCATAGTTTTAGCCATTGGATTTCACTCAAAACACACCAAATGACTCCTCACACCATAATATGATGTTCCCCAAGTTTTGGACTCAATCCGATATCGATTGGTCCATGAAATTAGACAATTCAGGTTCGTACGAAGTTCGTTCTAAAATGTAGTGGTTGGTGTATTGAATAGTTTTAGCCATTGGATTTCACTCAAAACACACCAAACGACTCCTCATACCGTAATATGACGTTGCCCCATGTTTTGGACTCAATCCGATATCGATTGGTTCATGAAATCGGACAATTCAGGTTCGTACGAAGTTCGTTCTAAAATGGAGTGGTTGGTGTATTGCATAGTTTTAGCCATTGGATTTCACTCAAAACTCACCAAATGACTCCTCATACCATAATATGACGTTCCCCAAGTTTTGGACTCAATCCGATATCGATTGGTCCATGAAATCGGACAATTCAGGTTCGTACGAAGTTCGTTCTAAAATGGAGTGGTTGGTGTATTGCATAGTTTTAGCCATTGGATTTCACTCAAAACCACCAAATGACTCCTCATACCACATATGTGATGTTGCCCAAGTTTTGGACTCAATCCGATATCGATTGGTCCATGAAATCGGACAATTCAGGTTCGTACGAAGTTCGTTCTAAAATGGAGTGGTTGGTGTATTGAATAGTTTTAGCCATTGGATTTCACTCAAAACTCACCAAATGACTCCTCACACCATAATATGTTCCCCAAGTTTTGGACTCAATCAATATCGATTGGTCCATGAAATTGGACAATTCAGGTTCGTACGAAGTTCGTTCTAAAATGGAGTGGTTGGTGTTTTGCATAGTTTTAGCCATTGGATTTCACTCAAAACCACCAAATGACTCCTCACACCTAATATGATGTTCCCCAAGTTTTGGACTCAATCCGATATCGATTGGTCCATGAAATTGGACAATTCAGGTTCGTACGAAGTTCGTTCTAAAATGGAGTGGTTGGTGGATTGCATAGTTTTAGCCATTGGATTTCACTCAAAACACACCAAATGACTCCTCACACCATAATATGTTCCCCAAGTTTGGGGCTCAATCCGATATCGATTGGTCCATGAAATCGGACAATTCAGGTTTGTACGAAGTTCGTTCTAAAATGGAGTGGTTGGTGTATTGCATAGTTTTAGCCATTGGATTTCACTCAAAACACACCAAATGACTCCTCACACCATAATGTGATGTTGCCCAAGTTTTGGACTCAATCCGATATCGATTGGTTCATGAAATCGGACAATTCAGGTTCGTACGAAGTTCGTTCTAAAATGGAGTGGTTGGTGTATTGCATAGTTTTAGCCATTGGATTTCACTCAAAACCAACCAAATGACTCCTCACACCATATTATGTTGTTCCCCAAGTTTTGGACTCAATCCGATATCGATTGGTCCATGAAATCGGACAATTCAGGTTCGTAGGAAGTTCGTTCTAAAATGGAGTGGTTGGTGTATTGCATAGTTTTAGCCATTGGATTTCAAAAAAAAAAAAAAAAAAAAAAAAAAAAAAAAAAAAAAAAAAAAAAAAAAAAAAAAAAAAAAAAAAAAAAAAAAAAAAAAAAAAAAAAAAAAAAAAAAAAAAAAAAAAAAAAAAAAAAAAAAAAAAAAAAAAAAAAAAAAAAAAAAAAAAAAAAAAAAAAAAAAAAAAAAAAAAAAAAAAAAAAAAAAAAAAAAAAAAAAAAAAAAAAAAAAAAAAAAAAAAAAAAAAAAAAAAAAAAAAAAAAAAAAAAAAAAAAAAAAAAAAAAAAAAAAAAAAAAAAAAAAAAAAAAAAAAAAAAAAAAAAAAAAAAAAAAAAAAAAAAAAAAAAAAAAAAAAAAAAAAAAAAAAAAAAAAAAAAAAAAAAAAAAAAAAAAAAAAAAAAAAAAAAAAAAAGGGTAAGTTATAAGGGGTAAGTTATAAGGGGTTCACTTTATAGTCATTGGATCAATCGAAGGGCTGGGGAGAATTGGGATAAAGTTGTGCAATCGGGTAGGTGAGGAACCCAAACCCGAATTTAATATCCAGCAATGAAGTTGGTCCCAACAAAAAAAAAAAGAGAGGCAAGTTCGAAGTTTGAACAGAAAAAACCCATTGATCTCAAACTCATAGCTGAGAGAAACCGCTAAGCTCTGAGAAACGGTTGAAGGCAACGGGCAACGACGGTTGAAGGCAACGGGCAACGACGGTTTGAAGGCAAAGGTTAACGACGGTTGAACGCAACTCCACTATCTAAACCGTGAAAAAGTATTTATTTTGAGTGGAAGGAGCAAAGGCGTGGATTCTGAAACAGTGAAGACGAAGCAGTGGAAGGGGAAGGAGAGAAGCCGTATTCGTTGGAAGTGATAGGTTCCATTTGTGGAGCAAAGCCGCACAAAGACCCCAACACAGACACCTTGCGATTGTTCAATAACCAGCATTTGGTGAGTAATTTATGGAATTTGAGTTTAGGGTTAGAGTAACCGTTTTCCCCAATTTGTAGCATGAATGTTGTTAGATTTGGCATCTCTTCTTTGTGCTTCACTTGCATGTTAATTTTTGCTTGGGTATATGTTAAAAAACGAATGAATATAAAGTCAATAACATGTCAATAACATGTCAATAATGATATGAATAAGGTAATGGTGTTGAATTGGAGGAGGCCCTCAAAACCTTCCACATTTGAAGCAGTGCAGAGTGCAGATTATCTCTCTGGAGCTAGAATATATATAATTTTTGAAATAAATATTATTTCCGTTGTTACTAAATTTGCCTGTTAAAAATGAGAACAGATAATAATAAACTCATGAATAAAAGTGCAAAGCATTTGAAAAAAGGTTGATCTATGACGATTATGGCTGACTGAAGAAAAAGCTAGAAAGA